ATTACTGATAGAAAAATAACACATGTTCGATGTAAATGTCCAGACCATAAAACATTTTGAAATTCCAGCCTGGAAGAGTGCAAATATCAAACCTCTTGAAGCTTTTTGCCACTTAACAAGAGGGATACTAATGTTATCATATACAGACAGTTATTTCTTGAGCATAGGCAAAAATACAACAGCTATATACCCGTATATACGGATGGCTCTAAAGGAAGTAATTTTGTTGGAGCATCTTTTGTGATTGATAATCATACGAAGGGCATCCGTCTACATAGCTATTGCTCGTTCTTAACATCTGAATTGACTGCTGCATATGAAGCACTTTCCTTCATATCTGTACTATGCAAATGAAAGTTTTATTATATAGACGGACTCGCTTAGTGCACTGAAAGTTTTAGAATCATTTTGCAACACCCAAAATCCTGTAGTAGTTGAAGTTCTGAAATCGAACTTAAACCGTGGATATGACATTCTTTACTGCTGAGTTCCGGGTCATGTAGGGATAAAAGGTAATGAGCTGGCAGACATCACAGCAAAGTCTGCTGTCGAAATGTCCAGTCGGCTCATTCCTTGTAAAGATGTGTACATTGTCATCAAGCAGAAAGTCCTATGTATGTGGCAGCTACTCTGGGATTTTCAGCTTAATAACAAGTTGAGAAGAATAAAAATGAGAATAGAACATCAGTAAACAAATGGAAATCGGGGAGAGAAAGTGCTTTTAACTCGCCTCAGAATTGGTCATTCACGAGTGACACATTTTAAAAGCAGACAGAAAACCTGTTTGTTGCAGATGTGATTCTGTACTCTCCATATATCATATTTTAATAGACTGCCCTTATTTTAGTAAACTTCTTGAGAAATATTTTAATAGTTCTGAGATAACTCTTCATCATCTCATCGGGCAAGATTTTAATACTAATATGTTCCTATATCTAAGAGATTTTGAAATAGTTTTAATGTCTGTTCAAATAGTTTTAATGTCATTTGTGAATTTTACCTATTTTAATGCTTGAATCATCTGGATTTTATTATACATGCCAGCCTTCATCACTTTATTCTGTCTGTCGATTTTATCGGTGTGCTTGTTTTAAATTTGTCTTTTTTAATATATGTAGCTGTAGCTCATCTGTATATTGAAGTATCACACCTGTATTCGGCACATATAATCTTCAAAGTTTTCCATCAGAAATCAGTATCATTACTGCTGCATGAAATTTTAATGAGGTTGGACTGTATGCAAAACCTTACCTGCTAAGGATTTAGTTTATGAATATAAAAAACTTAATTTTATTCAAGTTTTGATATTTATCAACATTTTCTGTATTTTTCTTTTTTATTTATAAAACACATTAAAGAATAATCTGAATTTAAATGTTGGTGCATTTTTCGAATTTTAGAAAGGAGGGGGATAATAGTCTGGCAGTGGTGTAGAGCTGAACTAGATAAGTATTATGTGGTTTGCTTAAATTAAATAATCTAATCTAATGAAATTCACATATACTGGATAAAAATTATTAACTTGATAATATCTTCCAAATATTAAATCAGCCTGGCTTTTATCACAAGGCTCTAAATAAAGCACTCTGTGCCTTAGATCATAAAAGTAATCATTCTGGAAAAACCAGTTGCTGGTGAAAGGATGTTAAAACCAATAATAATAATGATGATTTCAGTCGATATTACGAGGGAACATAAATATTTTTAGAATATAATTGTTGTACTAAGTCATTTTTATTTAGGAGGCTACAGTTTCCTGTCAGAATGTATTTCATCATATCACTTATTAATTCAAAAAGCCAAGTATTTACACCATTAAAGCAAATGTTTCTGTTGTTAGTACTGTTAGAATTATGTTCATTTCACCAACTGCTGAAATAATTCATGCATTTTCATGTGGTCATTATATATGGGACTTTAGTAAATTGGTACAGTAAAAGTCCAAAGAATGCATATTCAGGATAAAGCTAATAAAATTGACTTATTTTCTTTGCGGCTATTAAACCTTTCTGGCACGCTACCTTTTAAAGTTGGAATTTCAACAAAACAAACACACACACAAGAAAAAAGGGTAGGCAATCTAATCAGGCCTAGAGGAATACACAGGGAAAATTTTGTAAAGAAAGCGCTCACCATTTTAATTCTGTGAGTGTGCCCGAAGTGGGCTCACTGAATGAAAAGAGCTTTGAAAAGAGTGCTGAAGCGAGCATTGCTGGGAAGCGTGTAATAGAGTAAAGGATTTTACCTACTATTAGAAAACACTAGATTCTGAATACCGTAGCAAATTTAACATAACCCAGGTTGTGCTACGTGGAGACCTGCTACTCTACACCCCCTCAAAAAAGCTCTTCTAAATTATATGATGATTGTATGCATATAAATGAGAAAAAATTTAACTTGGGTATATGATATTTATATTTAATATTTACACTTTCATCTATTTTTTTTTTCATGGTGTTACTTTTTAAAGAAAGTGACACCACCTTTGAAAAATCACAACCGAATATTGCATAACAGCTCTAGGGAAAAACCAAACAGTTAACTGATAAAATTACCTCTGACTTTCAGAAAATCACCCCAACAGTTTCTTAGTTGATAATGAAACCCCCCAAAAAAATGGAAAGAAAAACAGGAAATGAAACACAGATGTGGATCCACCTTTCTATTGTGAATGATCTCACCAGAGAGCTGCAGTGAAAAAAGATACAGTTGTTGGTGTAGTCCTAGTGTCTCGGTGATCCCACTGTGGGCACACCTGATGTTTGCTGTTTGATTTTAGGCAAGATTCCAAGGTAAAAATTTAAAACTAATATAGAATAAGGAGATTAGTATACAGCCAAGAAGATAACACAGAAATTTCTTTTCAAACAATTCCTTTTATATCCTAAAAAAAATCTGGAAGATTTCTTTGAAAACTAAACATGGCTAAAATGTATGAACTGGTTTTTGTTGTTCTGCCATCTAGTATAAATAAAGAAGGTTCAGACTAACCTATAGTAACGTATAAATCCTTTTTCAGTAAAAATATATTTACGGGTCCCCTTGGTGAAAATTGGTAATTTTTGGTGGTACATGGATAGAGAGTTTGTGCAATTCTTTTACTTGTTATTTTGGCTTGTGTAGTAGTGTCTATTTTTTTCGGCAAAAATCGCCGCTACACAAAGCCAAAATAACAAGACAAAGAATTGCACAAATTCGGTGTCCATGTACACATCAACCTCTTTTCACTTAAAAAAACATCAGAGAATTGCACAAACTCGGCATTGCGCACTCCCTTGCTATTGTCCATGTTCACATCGACCTATTTTCACATTAAAAAATCAGAGAATTGCACAAACTAGGCATTGCGCACTCCCTTGATATTGTCCACGTACACATCGAAATATATTCACTTAAAAAGTCAAAGGAGCAGCCAACAAAAAAATATATATAATCTCGTTAAACTACATTTTAAATCAAACAATGAAATAACATAAAAAAGGAAGTTCATCTGTGCACTATACAAAGGAAATATCCACTTATTTTATTTATGAATGAACATGTCTTCAGTCAAACAAAATTCTACAGCACCCAAAAACTTTCCAAAATTATCTGATCTAGAATCTGTATACTTTCATCGCCATATAAATTCTAAGAATAAGAGTAAAAAAGTATCCTCTGTAGCGCCGTTATCATCCGATGTTCGACCATTCACATTTCCTTCATACAAACAAGACACTTAATAATGGCTACTAAGTAAACCTTCATTTACACTCTAATCAAGTAATGCTCTTTTCCCTTTTCTTTCTAAATCATACAGAAACTTCAAATTAATCTTACCACATTCAGCCATTTTACTGTCTAAACCACAAAACGGGCAATGTACTTCCTAATCAACACACACCACAAGCCCTTACAAATTTACTGCAATCATGCAACCGATTACATCATAATAAGATTTCCATAACATTCAACTACTCAGGCTATCATAAATGAAACAACTTGATGATAATATAAGGGGTACCCTTCTCTCTACTCTAACCCCTTTTTCATTCAATTTTGCTGTGCGTATAGAGGGAAATTTTTAGGTGCTGCAAAGAGTTGATGATTAATCGAAATTTAAAGAATCTATATTTGAAGAAGGAAATATAGTAGACAAATATATTCAAAGAATGGATACAACTAGTGTATACATACATGCTAGTGTAAATATATATATATAATACCATGTTTTCCTGCTAGGTCTCTAAATTGATTATATAATAAATGGAATTTTTTAAGTAATAATAAATTTATACTGATTATAAAATATTAGTAATTGAATAATTTTCTGAATCAATTCATGATTTGTATAGCATTTCAGAATCTGCTCATTTATAAATATAAGATTCATAGACTAAAATGTTACTGAAATTAACAGTGTTTAACTCACTTTGAAGTTGAAAAGGTCAAAGATTAAAAGTTTGAGCATTTCGTCAAAATCCTTTTACCACGATTTAGCAAGGTCTACTTGACTAGCAACAAGTCCTGCTTCTGCTATAGAAGGATTTTGTCTGAATTCTCTAACTTTTCATTTAACCATTATGTGAATGCTTCCTTACAGTATTTGATCATTTTTCTCCCTTATTTGACCAAACATGTGTTATAAAAATTATAATTAGATATTTTTATTACATTCTTTTCTTGGAAGTGAGAAGTAGAAACTTAATTTTTATGCCCTTTTAAATAAAAGTCTACAGAAATACTCATACTTTCAAATTTTTCCTATTTTTAAATTTGGAATTTTTATGAACCAGTTATAGAGGCTAGTCAATTTGAAAATCTTTCTTAGCCTGGCCAACTTCTAGCAGGTAATTTGTGTGCAAAAATGCATTATCTTAATTGAATACAAGCTAATTTCGCATAGAAGGTCTTTCATGAAGACATCCTTTTTTACACAAGTAGCGCTAATGAACTTTGCTTCATAGCCAGTTTTTGCCATTATAATAATAAAGATTTTTTTTTTTTCTTTATTATTTAAGTATCCAATGGACATAATTAAAAAGGCCTGGGAAGTTGGATTGATGAATCCTGGTGTTCCTCAAAAATATGGTATGTCACTGTTATTTGAATTTATTGCTGCATTATTAATAATATACATGGCATATTGTAATACATGCAGCATATTTTACTGATGATAAAATTAATTAGGTTTTTCCTTCCAAGTTCGAAATTTACTATGAGTAGCCAAAATATAAGAGAACTTTCTAATAATATGTTGGTCCTTCTTTTACGTAACTCTCAGAGTGGTGCAGGTTTTTTTGGATCTGTCATGAAGATCTATATTTAAATAACATTTATTAGCTAAATTTGTATAATTATTTATTTTAGGCTGTATTTTCATAAACTTGCATTCATTAAGATCACATTTATGTTATTAAAAAGAGTAAGAAAGCAAAATATCTAAAATTATAAGCTAATATATACCAAGTGACAAAAAATCTCATGACTGGATAAAGCCATTCATGTTGCTTAGTGGGTTGAATAAGCTTGTAGTCTTGTAAAGACATTTTATACTTAAATTTATTTAAGAAAGTGAATAGATAATACTTTAAACTATTAGGGTATTGTTTTTCTTAGGATTAGAAGATTGAAGTAAGCATTCAAAAAAATTTTTTTTTCTATTATTTTGGGAATTTCTGCTTGTCAAGAAACTAAATATTACATTGCGGACTTGGAGAGTTATTATGGGTATGTTGTAATAATGTGAGCATCATCATCATCAACATCATTCTAAATTGTGATTCTGGATATATAGATTTGACTTCTCACTTTATAGAATTTAAAGTATTTTCCAATCGCAATAAGAAATCAAACATACTTACAGAACCTTCTCACATCATCACAGGATCATTAACGAGAACCATTTCTAAGAAACTGGTTTCATGGCCCCTTATTTTCATTTTCACATTATATCCTGCTATTTGTTTATTGTTGCAACAAATAGAATTTATCTGGTAACCAATGTAGTGTATTTCTATAGAGATCTGCATTTGATGAACACAGTGTCTAGAAAATTTAGTATCTGAAATATGCAGTCAGATAGGATGTTGGCTTTTGTAGCAAGGGTTAGTTTGTCAGCACTGATATTCCTTATATAGGGGTTCTGATGTGAGTCTAAATATGATCTACACTATCACTATCAGTCTACACTGAAAAGCCAAAACATTTTTACCATCCCCAACATTTTTCAATAAATTCGTCTGGTTGACGTGGAAGGCACATGATTAAGTTGAATAGTGTTTACTTGCTGCTGAGGAAGGTAAGGTGTCATTCTTGTACCAATTTTTGCAAGTGATGGGATGATTCTAAGATAAATCATTCTAAGATAATTTGACAGAAGGCAGATTGTAATGGCCCAAAGACTTAAAACGAGTATCTCTGAAACTGCACGATTGGTAGGTTGTTCACGATCTGCTGTTGTTAGTATTTATGTAAAGTGGATAAATGATGTTGAAACCAGCAGGTGTTGCATGTCCATGTGTCATCAAAGAAAAAGAACATCAGAGACTGTCCCACTTGTTACAGCAAAATCGGCACCAGACGGTGGTTCAGTTTACAGCCCAATACAGTGCAGGTCCACACCATTTTGTAAGACACTGTTATATATGGGACTGCACAGCAGACATCCCAATTATGTGCCTTTGTGGACTATACTTCATTGTCACCTACATCTACAGTAGGCTCGGGAACATCAAGACTGGACCATTGATAAATGGAAGCCAGTTGCCTGGTCGGTTGAATCACTATTTCTCATTCATTATGTCGATGGTCGTGTCAGAGTACACTATCTTCCAGGCAAACATTTGCTTTACCCTGTACAGCAGGTCATACGCAGGCTCGTGGTGGTATTATGCTTTGAGGGATGTTTTCACAGGTACATAATTGTGGATCACTTGCACCCTTACATGATGTATGTCTTTCCAACTTAAATCTGTAAGATTGATGAAACTTGCAAACAGAATGTGTATTTAATTAGTTATTAGCAGATGAATTTAATTTACTGATAAATTCATCATTGTAAAAAGTGGGAATGCTATGTTTCGTTATGTTTAGCTATAGCGATTTGAGCTGAACTTTATTGCATATGTTAAATTCCTTGATATAGTTGTGCAATTTCTTCGATTTGTTGTTTCATTTACAGGTGGTACTGGACTTGGTTTATTTGATTGCTGTTTAATGTCTGAGGAACTTGCCTATGCATGTACAGGCATAACAACAGCTATGGAGGCTAATGAATTAGCTGTAAGTAACCCTGTTTAATAATTATGTTATTTTCCTTTTTTTTTTTTTTTTTTTTTTTTTTTTTTTTTAGTTCTTTTATGTATATTTTTATCAAGTTGTACAAACAGATACTTTTCCGTTTTGGCGGCGATAACCTTTTATGCATCATTTTCCAAACAAATGGCAACCATTTTTTATCAGATTGATTATTTCTTTCAATACTGGCATACAAAATTTCTATCAGATAGTTGAGTTTTATGCCCCAAGACCATTCGCGGTAATTAAGTCAATTAGGATGCAATCACACCGCTCACCCAAAGGCGAAAATATAGAAAAGTCAAGGTTAAATTCATCAATTCTAATGAGAATGCACTAGTGAAGTAAAGCACTACGGTTTTACATGATTTTTGAGTAAGCTATTCATACGAATTGAAATAATTCTTGTATTTAAACTTGGATTCCAAATTAAGATTTAGCTTGAAATAGATGATTAGTAAGAGAATTAGATTTTTGTAGCATAGTTTATGCAAGAGGAGATCACCTGGGGTCACGTGATATGAGCCGGCGAATCAGGATGTTGAGCCATAAAAGCATGTTAAATTCTTAAATTAATGTCTTTTTTCAAATTTATTATCTTTATTTATTGGCTTTTTTAAAAATTTTAAACAATATTAAAATGTTTATGCCTTAAAATTAAAAAAAAAAAATTCTTAACTAACATTTTTCATGCGTATGCTGTATGTTGTCGCCAATAAAATCTGCTTGGTGAAACTTGCACCGGCGAAACAGAAAAGTACCTACAAATATTTAAAAATGGTAGTAGTATGGAAGGAATTTTATTTTTAAAATTTTTTATTTTAATTTATTTTTTCCCCTCTGCTGCTGTGGCTGTGCTGGTAAATTTTCAGTATTTTAATTTTGCTTCTGAATGTATTATTAATAGAATTCTAATTACTAATTAGTAGGTTGGTATAATTTATAGTACTTAACTTGTAATGATTAGAGAAATAACCAAGGCTTTGATTAGATATTTTCTAAAAGCAGGAGTTGTAGCATAAATTTTAACGTTCATATTTGTACAGTTGCAATAAGGGTGTTAAATCTCTACATATTTCTAAAAACAAAAATTGGCAGATGCAATATATATTTTTAACTATTTTTGTCTGTAGATCTGCTTCATAAATATGCAGATAAATTTTAACTGCATTTTTTGTATAGTTTTAACTATCATTTTTCACAGAAAAAACATGAAGTTCTCTGAAACTTAGCAGTATAGTTTCTTAGTACATACAATGTCATATTACTGTAGTTTTGAGTTTGTCAACAACATGATGTGTTTTGAATTGTATTTTGTATTTGGCATTATTGCTTTAAATTTGGACATGTAAAAACGTTTTTGAATCTATAACTATATGTGTCTAATTTTTTTTTCTTATTAAAATATATATGGTTTACTTTTGATCATATTTAGTCAAGTACTTTGGTATAATTATTTTGAATAACTTTGATTTTAAAATAGTAATTTGGGTACTCGGTTAAAATACATTGAAGTGACTTCTTTTTGTTCTATTTATTAACCTATACAAGTCTAAAATTTAGTTTATTCTGTATGAATTCTCTTCCAAAATCTGAATTGACATGTCTATTCTCAAACTATGTGTTTGTTTAATTTATCTCCATATAATGTTTTGTCATTTCTTATAGAATTATTTGAAGAAATAATGGCAAACACTGAATGCACTGTCATGAAGTAAAACTAAAGCTAATAATTAAAATTAAATTCTTTCTAAACTGAAAGTTTTAAAAACAAAAGATTTGGTGACATAAACTCGGAAGCCAAATGACGTTATTACCTATTTAATATTTTTTTTTTAATTAACCTTATGTGTGAGGTTTCTCTCTCTTCATGCTATAGATATTCTTTTTTTTTTTTTTTTTTTTTTTGTAAAATATTCATATTTTCTGCAATATTTTAGAAATCATTCTTATTTTGATAACTTAATAAAGTATAATACAAAAATTAATTATGCAACTTTTATTTTGTTTCTTAACATTTTATAAACAAATTCAATAAATAGATGCTTTTAAGTGTGGTATTTTATAGTTGTATAACGAGTGCTGTTAATCTATCTGGAAGTTAGAGTCTTCCAAATACTTGTATAGTGATTAATAAACAGTAATTGTGACAAAAGTTAAAAGTTTATTTAAGTTAATTTTTGTGTAAATTTCTAAGCTAACTTAAGCTTTAAACTATTTAGTTTCTAAGTTTACTCAAGGCTAACTGCAGAAGCCGAGCAGCTTTAGAAGCTTTTTAGCTAAATTGGCTGACTGCATGCAGATTTTTCTTCATATATAAAGTAAATATGAGACCATTTTCCATGATTATTCTTTTCCTTAAACAGGTAGTTTTCTTTTTTCTTTCTTTTTCTTTTTTTTGGGGGGAGGGGGGGCGGTAATTAAATAATCCAATCTTTCAGACTCCTCATCTTATATCTTGAAAATATTCTGGTGTATAGCATATTGGAATTGAATTGAATTGAATTATATTAAAACCACTTTATTTCCAGTTTTAATGAATATTATTTATGTTGTTATTTCGAAGCGAGAGACATGAAAAATGAGCAACCCCTTTGCTGGGACTCAAAATTCGGACCTTTCGAATAGACGCCAAGCTTGCTGACCATTACACCATGAAAGTATGCTAAGAAGGCAGAAGAAATATATATATACTCCCTCTTTAAAGGCCGACTGGGGATTAGGGGACCCAGTCAACAAATCCTGGTGGTGGAGAATCATCATTCATCACCTTTTTTAAGTTTAAGCCCCACTGTAGAGATATTAAGTTTTTTTTTTTTTTTTTTTTTTTTTTTTTTTTTTTAAATAGAAACATGATAAATGAGCAATGCCCTCATTAGTACTCGAGCCATGGACCTCTCGAATATGCACCAAGTGTGCTGATCGCTGCACTTCGAAGATGAGAGAAATACCTTATATATTCTCTTTTAATAGGGATTAGGGGACCCAATTGCCAAATTCTGGTGGTGGAGAATCATAATCCACCACCTTTTTTAGTTTGGGTGCCACTGTAGAGACATTAGGTTATTTTGAAGTAGGAGACAAGAAAAATGAGCAACGCCTTCGCCTGGACTCGAAACTCAGACTTTTTGAATACATGCCAAGGGTGCTGACCATTACACCACAAAGGCGTGCTAAGAAGGCATTGAAAAGTAATGAATTATTTTTACTAAAAATAGTGGTATTAATTCAGTAGTTTCAATTTTTGTCTTTTTTGGGCTGTGATAAAAAAGTCATATTTTATAATAGTAAGAAACATGATGTGTGCCAGTTAGAATTTTAATAAATCTTGATTTGAAACTTTGATATATTAAATCCCAAGGTTGATTCAAGAAAACAAAGAACTGGATTTTAAAACATGTGCAGATGTACTGAAAATGAAAATATTAATCATTAACTGAAATTAGATAACTATAAATAATAAAAAGTTTCAAACCAATTTCATACTTATTGCTTCTGAATGCTTTTTAAAAATAAATAATTATTAAGTAACCAAAGGTAAATGATAAAGTTTTTTTTTTTTTTTTTTTCCCCTCTCTTTGAACATGTTTCATGTTCTTGAATGCAAAATCTAAAGATTCTCATTTTCAAATTTTGATTTGTATTGAAATACCATAAATTTTGAAAATATTCTGATCTTGCATGGAGTTTCTTAGGTCCATACCGCAAATTTTAGTTGAGGCAGGAGAGGATTTTGAAGTTCAGTATTTGGGAAATTTTTAATTTTGTAACTAGAAGAGGAAAATACATTTCTTTGCTTAATAGTCACTAGTGACAAAGTAGCTAAAGTCACAAAACACTTGAACCTCATCACTAATTCTATTAACAACATGAGATGGGGTTGAATGCTTGAAGTTTTCATGATTTTCCCTACGCATAATATAAATATGGGTGTATGGCCATTAGAAGGTCCTGTACAAAAGTGGAGCTGTCTTGCATATGTTACACATCGCACATTGCAGCTGTCTGCTTAATGAGACAGCTGCAATATGCTATGTCATAAATAAATAATCCTGTCCATTCTGATCCATTCTACACTCATTTTAATGAAAATATTGTTGTATAAAAGTGCCTGTTAAGTAGTGGGATATTTGGTCAAGGTTGAGAGAAAGCAAATGAATAGAACATATTGTGACTGATACTAAACTCAATATTTGCTATAAACATATACCAGGATTTTGAAAAAAGTCTTATCAGTTTAAGAGGATATAATAAAATTCACATTGTGAAGTTGAAAACAAAATATGAAAATTAGTTATAATGCAGTTTATATTTAACACATTGGACAATGCATATAAGAAAATGTTCTCTTAAATATTTTTTAGTTCTTTGTTTTTGCTTTATTTAAACCACACTAGCAAAAAATACATGCTTTTCCAAATCTAAACCTTCTTATTTATAATACATTATTATAATACCAGTTCAATGCTGGGCACACTGAATAAATGTATGGATAAATTTCTGCAAATCTGTCTGGTATGATCTCAGTGTCCTTATGTGCACTTAGTATCTTTGTTTAAAGTCCCATTCATTGCTGTTTTCATTTTGGAAAACCAAGAAATATTCACATAAAGTTAAATCTGGAAAATAAGATGGATATTGGATAATAGTCGTCTCATCATAAGTGAAAATAATGTGCAAGAATTTGACAACTCTTTTTTTTTCTAATAATGTTCCTTCAGTATTAAATATGTATCTTTTCTTGGTCTTTCACTAGCATGAAAAGAAAGAACAAGTCTTCCTTTTAATTTAATTTTTAGTCCAAACAGCATGAAGTGAATGTTGGATATTACATGTCCAGCAGTAGACATTTGATGTATGACATTTCTAGGTTAATGTCAAATGCAGATGTCATATGTCTGCAGTTTGGATGAGTTGATTAGTGGTCACAATTTTTAAATGACCTGATTTTGAGTCATCTTTACTGTCTTCTCTCCAGTCTTTGAAACATCTACTCACAAGTAAGGCCTTTCAACAAGAGAATGGGGATATTATTCACCCAATGACATGATTTAGATTATTTTATGATTTTGAGTTTCCTCCTGGTGGTGAAATAGACATTTTTACAGATTGTTCTGGAATTGATGGGGGAGTGTATAGTGCTGTGGTAACTTATTTTCATGGAGTGGAGATAGACAGTGGGAGAATAAAACTTAAACCAATGAATTCGGTTTATCAAGCAGAACTATACGCATTGACAGAGGCTTTGAATTGAATTAATAAAAAATTAACAGTTCAACGTTTTATAAATATTTATACTGATGCCGTGCACTTCAGGCACTTGCCCAACCAGATCATAAAAATCGACTAATTAATGAAATAAAAGACTTGTTTAAAAAGGCTGCAAGAAAACACTGGGTTAAATTACACTGGGTGAAAGCACACAATGGAATTGTCGGAAATGAAAGAGTGGACACCCTTGCTAAACATAGGCACTTGGAGATGGTACCGATAATTCTGATATCCAAGATTCAAGAAAAGATACCATTGCTGAAATGGAAAACTGGATTTATAGAGAATGAATTTTTGCTGGGAGTCTAATAAGAAAAAAGAGTTAATGAAAAGTGTAAAGTTAAACAAAAAGATGAATATTATAAATAATGTTGATATAAATCAGGTATCGACTAATCATGGACATCTCCCAGCTTATTTTAATCACTTCCATCTATAGAATAATGATAAATGCTTAATTTTTTATAAGTTTTGCGACACCAGGCACTTTGTAGCTTACCCAGAGTGCAAGAGAGAAATATAGGAAGAATTTTAAAAGGAACTATTCAAATTTGACCGATTTTTCGAAAGGAAGATTATAAATACAAACAAAGATAGAGTTGGAATTCGGCATTGAGACTCAGACTTTGGACTTTATATTTTTTTCCCCCCCTTATATTTTTTTTCTTGTCAGTCCCATTTTTTAATCATACGGCCGGCTTGTGCCAGCTAGGAGGATTGGGGCTGTGCCCTTATAATAATAATAATACATGCTGGAGTTATTACTATAAACTTAAAGCAATTAGTGGCTAGTGGCACTAACTGCTATTAACAAAGGCTTCAGGTTTGAATCTTGAACAAGGCAAGGATGTTTGCCAGCATATAGTGTCTTTGGGGCAAGGGGGAAGTCAAAATTTACAAGGAGCTTAAATCCTCTTTAGAGATTAGTGATACGGAAAGAGGGGTGCAAAATCCTGGGATTAACCCATCAGGTGTTTTTCGAATTTCAAATTGGGGTGGAAACTTAACATTTAACTAAATACAGTAATACCTTAATCACCCATAATATTACGGAGTTGCTAAATTAGCTTTTACTTGTACTATAAACTTAATAGATCCAAGTGAGTATTTCTATGATAGTGTTGCCAGAATTTAAAATAAAATGTAAAATTTTAGTCTTGTTCCATTTTGATTTAATAATAATATGCCATTTTATGTTGTCACTTGCACTTTTAAAAAGTATTTAGTCTGCATTTTGCAGAATTTTATGTAGAAGGGAGTGTTGTTTATTTAACCCTCATTCTGTAGATTATAGATGCATCTGCTAAGTTTGGATAAAAAAAGGAATGAATTCCTTTTTAGACAAACAGTGTAATTTAAAATGATGTAACATTAACTGCACCTTTTTTTTCAGTTCTATAGCACTTTGTTTGCTTAGTTGTTTTATTATTTGCTTAGTCATATTCTGAAATAGTGTCAATAAATGTTGTTATTTATCATCCAGGAATTTATAAATTTTTAAAGTTTAAATTTAAAAGCATTTTACCCCTTTTTTCTGTAGCAATCCCCAGTGATGTTAGCTGGCAATGAAGAGCAAAAAACAGAATATTTAGGAAGAGTGACTAAGGAGCCTATACTGTGCGTAAGTAAATGAGTTATGAAATTAGAAATAACATTTAATTTTTGTGCATGTGTATAAAAGCAGTTGATAGGATGAACAATAATTAAAGTGGCAATACATAAATTATATGTAAAATATTCAGAAATAAAAAATATCTATCTTTCAAATATTAAAGTAATAATAGCCCTTGAACTCTTGTCTTCTTTCTATAAATAATAACCTTTCTTGACCACATCACTTCTAGATTAATCTATGCCAAGAAGCTTGCATAATGCTGATGACATAGCTACTTAACCTGAACTTTCAGAATTTAAACCAAAACCTTTCTTTTAAGAACTTTCCATATTGGATAATTCTGCATTTTAGCTTCTTTCTCTATGGTGCTAGGATGTACTCACTTCCTATCGCAAAAGTATCAAAAATGTAAATGTTCTGGGATTAGGCACAACCAAGTGATTGTGGCCCACAAATGTCAATTGGAAGTAAAAATAAAATTTAATCTTACTCCAAGTTTATTCTTCAGTATGGATTATACCAGACAACATTGCTATATTTCTACGTCTCAGCTTCCATACATCAATACTTCTGTGAAATTTGCTTTTATTACATATATATATGTATATTATTTAAAATAGCAGGGCAATAGGTACTGTATCATGTTTAGCATAGCATATTGTAAGAATTTTTCATATTCCTGTTTTGCAACTCTAGTTTTAAAGTTTTAAATATAAAACCTTCTTCTTCAACTGCAGTAGTGCAAACGATGTAAGAGAATCCAGTGATCAGAAGGCAATAAGAATGAGAGGAAGTGAAGCTACTGGTGTCTTCTATTGATGAAAATTTAAAGTAATTATAAAATAATTTCCTTTACAGCATCCAGAGAGGCTCTCAACTTGAAAGAGACAGAATTCTTGAATCTGGCACACAAGAACTCTTTTGCCCTCGCAGTAGAAAAAATTATTCAAAATTATCCTCATGTTCTTTAGCCTGAAATTTTTAGTTTGACTGATGCAATTTTAATCTTAGTTTGACTGGTGCAAATAAAATAACTCTGGCAAAGAATTCTATATATATCCCAGAGTTCATATCCAGAATAGGGTCTTAAGTATGGAACTGAGTTTTATTGGCAAAAGAGAAAATTATCCAAAAGATGAATATCTGTAAAATACACAGAATAAATAAATACACTAGTAGCTTGACTTCCCTCGTTTCATTCTTATTTCCTTAGCTTATCTTATCACTGTCTTCTCTTTAGTCATTTCCACTTCGGCAGCTGAAAAGAAGGTTCTATAAGCCTTTGAAGGTAGTCCTGGAAATTTATGAATACTTTACTGATTCTTGTTGCTTCAAGTCCTCCTCCAATAATTTTTCTATTCATTGATCTAGAAAATAGGAGGCTTCTTGTCACCTGAGGTTTTGGGGGTCTTTTATCATGTGATACAAGTTATATTTACTATTTTTTAATTAATAATTTAGGGATTCTTTGGAACGTGGGGCCTCTCGTGATTATAATTTGCACAATCCCATAAATCTGATTTTGTTCATTTTCCCTTTTTACTTTCATTTAGGAAATTAATACATAATTACATTAACCATATGCTAGAAATTTACTGTGATTTAAAGTTGCTTTAAATGTAAAATGGCAATGTAAAGTTTCAGATTTATCTTGCTAACATAATTAAATCTGTATTGTTATTAAAATGTTTTTGTTATATAAATATTGGGTAATATAAAAAGTCTCTGTGCTTTTTTGGTACATTTTTGAACAAAAGTTTTCTTTATTAAAAATTAATTTTAATCTAGTACACTGCGCAAAAAAAAAGGGACAGTTCGATATCTCCCGTTCTACTGAGCCAATTAACGAAATTCAAATTGGATTCTTCATGTCTCGAAAGTGCGACTTAGGATATATGTTAGATTTATATATAGCACTATTCTAACATAGGTATTTTGACACAAAATAGAACTTTTTCTGAAATAACATACCAAGTTTTTTACATATTTTGATTCTAAGACTCAAATTATTTATGCCTAAATATTAAATTTTGTAAAATTTGGTGCGAAATTTACGGAGAAATTCAACAATTTTATGTTGGCCTTTTTTTTTTTTTTTTTTTTTTCAGTTGTGCCAAATAGTTCACTGGCAACTTTTAATATGAGGCAACCTATTTTCATTTCCCGACATGGTGCGTGAGTGGGAAAAAAGTCACGATTGTTCTTTCTTTCAAATAATATTATTTATATTTTTAATTATAATTGTTATTATTTGAAGTAATTTCTTCTTTTTCGAATTTCATTTTAATTGTTTGTTTAAGTTTCATGGTTTCTTTCGAATAACTGTTTTAAAAGTTTCTATTTACTCATTTGAAATTCTAGTTTAAATAAAATGTGCATTGTTTATTTTTTTTTTCAAATAGTTTTCTTTATACTATATTTTTTAGTCCTGGTTATTATTGTAAGTAATTTTTAAATTTTTAGCTTTTTATTTTAATTGTTTGTGTTGCATTGTCTCTTCAGATAATAATTCTAAAATTTTCTATTTATTCATTCGAACTGTACATTTTAAATGTATTTATTAATATAAATTTTCCAGAATTTGATTTTATTTATTTGAATAGCATTTCTTTCAGAAGAATACTTTGTGACTATGATGCATTTGAACACTGCGTATATTAAAAGAGAAAATAGAGTAAAGCACAGTTAACATGCCTTTCAATGTTCAGTTCGGAAAAGATATATAAATAAGAGAGATGTATAACCGACATTTTAACATAGGATGACTTGCACACATTGCTTTAAATAGTTTTATTATTCTGCCCAATGCTTTACACAATTTTATCATTCTACATTTAGTTTCTTAAAATGTTATTCATATTTTAGTCAAATATTTTATTTTTGAAATCGCAGGAATCAAATATCATAAGATTAAAAAAGTTTTTAATTTAAAAAAAAAAGATACTAAATTTTATGCAAAAATTTTTTTTCTTCTTAATGGTTGCTATTTTCTTCAGGCATTCTGCAAGTGTATTAAAAAGCATCCAACTTTTCGAAACATCTTAGTATTTCTGATATTCATTTTAAATAAAGTTATCGCCTTCCATTTCATAAAGGCACACAAACAGTCAAGCAGTAAAGTCGCTGAACACTGGTAGTTCGCCCTGGATTTTGAATCCCGGCAAACAGACTGGTAGCATGGGCGTTTTTGTGGCTTTTCTCGTGTGTAACATGTATGCCAGCTGGTTTCCCTTAGAAAGTTCTTCACGAAGGCATCCTTCCTTTTAGGTGAATAGTCCTTCTTTGCCGCAATTTAATAATCAAGTTCAATCCATTTTATCAGTATTTGGTCAGAGCCTTTATTAGTCTTTAGTGGGCGAGCATTTTGAAAGCATGAGATGAAAGGAAAGACTGGTTTCATCAATAGGGAAAACGTCTTTAGATGATATCCATATACGTTTTAGAGACATTAGGGTTTGTTGGAAGCGGGAAATTTGAAAAATGAGCAATGCCCTCGCCGGGAATCGAACCAAGAACCTCTCAAATATCCGCCGATCGTGCAGACTACTATACCACAAAGGCAGGCTAAGAAGGCAGAAAAAATACGTTATATACTCCCCCCTTTTAAAGAGTGACTGGGGATTAGGGGACCCAGTCGCCTGGTGGTGAAGAATCCTCATTCACCACCTTTTAGTTCGGGCACCACTGTAGAGACATTAGCTATTTTTTGGAAGTAGGGTAAATGAAAAATGAGCAATGTCCTCACTGGGAATCGAACCACGGACCTCTCGAATACGCACTGCACGTGCAGATCACTACACCACGAAGGCACGCGAAGAAGGCGGGGCTAATACCTTATAACGTCACTGGATAAATTCCTGAATCTTCAAATAATTCGACTGAGAAATCATGGGGTGTTCCGTTTATGATACGATATGGTGCTCTATGACATAATTTAAACTTATACAACCATATAGTTGAAAACCAGTCGCTCTTCAATTTAATCTACAATGATATGGTTTTGTCTCTTCCATTAGTACTAATTCATTTGCTGCTATTTGCTGGTGTGCATGTCCAAGTGTTTTTTCTTTGAATACCCAACTTCTTTGACATAGACCCCCCTTTAAATTTTTGCATTTTCCCTCTAATTTCCTTCTTTACTTCTACATTTGTTTTCAGTGCTGACACAAGAATATTAAGATTTTTCGATTGTTATACTTCCATAAATTTTGCATTCTTGTCAAATTTTTTAAAATATCTGTTTCATCAAATGCGTTTCAGCTGAAGATAGCTTTTCATTTTCTGTACATCTTAACTATAAATAAAGTTTAAAGCAAAGTCCAAAGGATAAATATTTTAATTAAAAGATTTTTGTTAAATGAGAAAGAAATAAACCACTCCAGCAGCGCTTATCCTATACCACTGAGTGGCCTGATTCTTATATCATGTGCAAACAATCTAAATCACATTATTTAGAGTTTTTAAGCCTAATAATTTTTATATTAAAGAACACATTTTTTATGTAATCTACAACACGAGAGAAAATTACTACTTAAAGCCTTCTTTCTAAGAGGATTAATGTAAAAATTTCTCTATTGCTTTTTTTTTTTAAACCTGGGACATGACCCAAACTGTCAACATCCTGTTTGCTTAAAAACATTGTGAAAATAAAGATCAAATGAACGTTCTCAGTTTTAGATAGTTCAGTTTAAATGAAGTTAAAGTAGCAGACGATAATACGGCGAAGGCAAAAATTTACTCTTACAAATATTTTAAAAAAAAAAAGGGGAAAAAAAGTGTTTAAAATTTGAATAATAATATCATCTGTAATTAAAAAAAAAATAGCTTTTTATATAGTATTAATAAATATTTATTGCATCATTGAGGGAAAACATTTCATATAATTAATTCTCCGGAAAAATTTATTTGAAATTTAAGGTTAAAAATAGCTGTAGCAATTCACTGTAACAAAATCCATAAACCATATTTTACGTTATTATCGCTCAAAAAATTGATGCCAAATTTCAAAATGCGAAAATATGTAAATTTGTGTGTATCTTAGAAAATTTTGAATAAAAACTCTAATTTTTTGCAGATATGCTTAGAAATACATCTACTTTAAGATGATGGTAAAATTTTTATAGGTTATAATTCAAAATTTTTTCGAAAAATTTATAAAAATTATTTAAAAATACAAATTTTAAAAGTAAATCATAAAACATGGGTGAATTTTATTTGGAATGAGCTTAAATTTAGAAATGTGAAAGGAAGAATAAAAACGTTTCATAAAAAAGAGATATTAATAAATATATACCAAATCCAATTAACATTGAGGAGCTAAAATTTTGTGAGCTAATTTTTTAAAAACAACTCATGCGACAGCAGTGTGGCATAATTTGAGTCATAGAATCGAAATATGTAAAAAAATTGTTATGTTATTTCAGAAAAAGTCTGATTTTGTGTCAGAATACCCATGTTAGAATAGTGCTATATATAAATCTAATATATATCCGAAGTCGTGCTTTCGAGACATGAAGAACGGAATTTGAATTTCGTCAATCGACCCAGTAGAGCGAGAGAATGGAACTGTCCCATTTTCTTTTTTTTGCGCAGTGTACATATTGACAATTATTATCTATGATCTTTCGCCATTTTTCGAGTAACTTCATAATTCCATCTGTTTAGAACGTCTGTGGTGTATCGTCGAAAAACTTGGCTGAGTGATTTTCAGCAGCTCTTAGGTCGGTCAATTTGTTTGCCATCAAGAGAGTTTTGCAGAGACCAAAGAAAATGGTAGTCAAATGGTGCAAGTTTCGATCTATATAGTGGATGCATCAAAACTTCCCAACCAGTTTCCATCATTTTTTTCTAAGTCATCAAAGATGTGTGTAGACGGGCATTGTCATGATGGAACACAGCTCCCTTTCTTTTGGCCCAAATCTGGTTGCTCTTTCTGTATTACTTCGATCAAATTGTCGAGTTATGCACAGTACAGAGCCGAATTGATGGTTTCGGCAGGTTGCAATTATGTGGCACCCAAACACTGAGCTTCTTTTTGTAACCTGCTCTTTTTAAATGATTCCAAACTGTCATGTGGTTGATGTTTAGTGCCTGTGCTATTTCCTGACGGCTTACGTGTTGGTCTTGCTCCACCAGTTGCAAAATTTCATTGACTTTGTCAGTGACTAGCCGACCAGAGCGAGGTACATCTTTGATATCGAAATTTCCGGAACGGAATGGAGCAAACCACTCCCGGGTCTTTTGTTAACTCACAACATTTTTATCATGCACTTATACAAATTTTTTGGCATGTTTTTGCAGTGTTTTTACCTTTTTTTTTTTTTTTTTTTTTTTTTTTTTTTTAGTAAAAAAGCATCACATACCCTATTTCTTCAGATATTTCACTCATTTTCAAATCAGTATAACTTTTTACACAAGCAACAAATTAGAAAACGGTTTTTACAAACAAAAGGAAGCTGAATGTCACCTTTTAAGCACATGCTTGTTTTAGAAAATCGAGTGAGTGTTTCCGGATATATAGGCATCATCAACACCATCTGGTGACAAAAAAGTGCAGAAGCTTTTTATATGACCAATATATTTTGCATTAATATTTTGATGTTATTTCTTTCTTAAATATCTGGAATAAAATTTGTATTCTTTTGTTTTTTCAACATAAACTATCTTAAAATAGGCATATTTCATGAAATAAAAATTAGCTTCCATATTCTTATGTATCATTCTTTAATGATAAAATCTTGACTTCTAACTTTCGTTATTTTGCTTCTAATTAAAATTTTAGGCATATTGTGTTACTGAGCCAGGGACTGGATCTGATGTTGCAGGAATAAAAACAAGAGCTGAGAAGAAAGGGGATAAATACATTATCAATGGCCAGAAAATGTGGATCACAAATGGTGGTGTCGCAAACTGGTTAGATATATATTTTATTAAATTGGATTGATCAGATATGAACGATAAACTAGAAATATGTATGTCCTTCACATGATGAAAGTTTCTCAAAAGCAAGAGAAAGAATCAGTGTTGTTTCAGATTTGAATTTGCTGACCTTCATTGATAATGTCCCTCATTAAAAATATTAGTCTTTCAAATTTTTGATTTCATGCACATATCCACACACATAACATGCAGTTTGATTCAACAGCTCCTGAGCTCTAATCTGAGAAGGGTCACACCTGTATTTGACCACTGATTTTTATTGTTTTTGATGTACAGTTTTAACCCATAGAACTATTAAATTACAATGAGTGAACAAAAAGGTATCCTGTTACTGCAAATATGGGAAATGACTTTAATACACAAATGTATACGACATGTTTCTCATCATTTTATTCAAATTGCTGAGTAGGATATTATGTATAGCTATTTATAATGTTGTTTTGCAGATCTATTAGCTTCTAGCTTGCTTTGAACAGAGCAGGTGCTTTATTCTCACATGAGACTCATGTTGATTAGGATCTCATGTATGGCTGTTTATAATATTGTTTTGCAATCTTTCAACTTCTAACATGTTTTGAATTAACCGGTGTCTTGTGAGACTCTTCTTCCAAACTCCAGCTCAGTGTATTTGGCATTTTACCCTGCAATTTGCATTAACCAAAAGTCAAGCATATTTACACCAAACGGCAGTCTTCGAAATATTTCCTTTTATTAGAGTAAATGTTATTTACATTGAGATTTCAAGGATGAAGGACTTGTGTTATGTAAAAATTTGGTACAGTCAAAAGTCGTTAATTCGGACACCCATAATCCGGAATGATCTATAATCCGGACCTCAAAGCTACAAACTTTCTGCGCATGTGTCGCGTTGACGTGCGGCGCACAATGAATTGGAAGTTGATATGTCAGCACTATCCTTATCTTCAGGGCAGACTTTTTATTTTATTTGGCTTATAATTCCTTACTAAATGTAGTATTTCATCTCAATGTACTCCGTCTTTGATATGATTTAAATCAAATTCTTCGTCATTATAATTCGCTTCCGATAGTGAAGAAAGTGACACAGAGGTTATTGAAAACGAAAAAATTTCGATTGACAAATTAGTCGGTATTCTCGACACAGCAATTATAGGACTTGAACAGCGGAACTTTGTAACTGAACAAGAAATTATGTCTGTTTATAGAATTAAAGAGAAAGTATTATCACATAAAACAAAGCAACTTAAACAACTTACATTAATTGAAAGAAATGTTTAATAAAGTAAACAAATAAATATTAAGCTTTTTTTTTTTTTTTTTTTGTAAATTTTGATACCCTTTAGATCATAATTGTTCTTTATTTCATAAATTACGGTTTCATATTTTTAATTTTATAATTTCTGCATGCCATCTTACCTGATTTAAACTGATGATCTATAATCCAGAAAAAGCGATAATCCGGAATCGCCGAAGTCCCAACGAGTCCGGATTAACGACTTTTGATTGTATTATTAAAACATATTTCATTTAATAATTTATTTGTTTTTCCACACCTGTTCATTGAGTTAAAACATACTTCAAACTAAAACAGTGAGTATTTCAAAGTGAATAAAAACTGTCTTGAATGTGCACATTTTGATAACATTTCATAGTTACAATAGTATTTCACAGGGAAAAAGTACAGTGTTAGATTAATGTTAGTATAGAATCTGACATGAAATAACTGAAGATGTTTAAAAGTTGGATTTGTTTTCTTTAGTTGGTACTAATGCTTTAACTAATACTTTCAGCAGTTAACAAATATTGGATATCGGACAAAATTGAATTGCAGCTTGTAATGCGTACAACATAGGTTAATTTTGAGTGTTCTTTTTGAAGAACTGAGCAAAACTTTTAAAGAATAGTCCAGAATTGATTAAACTACATAAATCTAAATATTATGACTTTGAAACATAATCTGACATTTTACATGCATCTTGTAATAATAGAGATTTATTTTTATTTATTATTTTTTTAAACTCTTATTTCCCATTTGAACCCAAAGGAATATTATTTCTGTGATTCTCCATCCAATGAAGAATGCTTTCACCCGTGACTAAATATGTTACGTGTATGATGTCACAATTTTTGTATGAAATCTGTGTAAAATTTATCTATATTCTACATCATTGTAGGAATTAATCATTCTGATCATTGGTGTTGAAACCTGGCATTGAGGGAAAATACAGTGTGCATAAAGTGTGTATGTGATGTCTATATGAAGTTTAAATCAGTAGAAGTAACATTATTATTATTATAGGCTATGAAAAAAAATAATTTGTTTTGAGAAGAAAATAGATGTGTTTGATCTATAGTAAAAAAAAAAAAAAAAAAAAAAAAAACTAATGTTTGACAATTCTGAAAGTCTTTTTTATTTCTAAATAATTTCAGATCTAGGGTGTATTGGTGATTAAATCAATCGACTATCTCAATTTTATTATTATTATTCTCAGCTCAGAATGAAATTTAAGGAAAAGTTTCTAGATGGTAAAGGGAGAAAAATAAATTGAAGACTTTTATAAGAAAAGAAATTCTAAGATGCAATTAAATACTCATTTATTTTAATATGCTTCTATTCTTATTTTCTGTGAAATGCACTTTTTTACCAGGTACTTTCTGCTTGCACGAAGTAATCCGGATCCTAAATGCCCGGCCAGCAAAGCTATGACTGGCTTCATTGTCGAAGCTGATTCCAAAGGTATTATTAAAGGAAGAAAAGAGTGGAATATGGGGCAAAGAGCATCAAACACTACTGGTGTAACATTTGAGGATGTTGAAGTTCCAGCAAAGAATGTTCTTGGAGTGGAAGGAGCTGGCTTTAAAATAGCAATGGGTGCATTTGACAAGACAAGACCTGCTGTGAGTATATATGAAGTCTACTGGAAAATTCTTTCCATTTGGGACGAGAAAGAAAATAATACATTCCTCATACCTTTAACAATATTTATTATTGTACAATGTAAATTCCATCGTTATTTATGATCTCTTTTCATCATGATGATAATTTGTAAATATCATTTTTGAAGAATGTCTGGTCCTTAGAGTCAAAGAACTCAAGTAGTGTTGGTTGACATCTCCTTCAGTTTTGAATTTTTTTTTTTTTTTTTTTTTTGCTTTAAAATATTTGCAAGGACAGAAGTAATAATCAAAGGGTGTCAAATCTGGGGAAATTGGTGGATGAGGCGGAATATCCCAGCTTAGCTCATCTATTTTCTGCCGAGTCACCAAAGCAGCATGTTGTCTTGCATTATCATAATGTAATATGATGTGCCCCCTGTTGAACTGAACCTGTTTTGTTCAAATCATCTATCTGCTGATAGTATCTATCCGGATTGAGCTTTTCATTAAATTTCAAAAGCATGTAATATATTGGTCCTTGGAAATCCCACCATATACATAGCATCATCTTATTCAGGTTCAAGCTTGGTTTAGATCTGGAGGGGGCAGGTTATCTGGGCTCTTTCCCTAATGTTATATTTGTAGGCAATCCACTTTTTCATTGCCAGTTATCATCCAGTCTAAGAAGCATTCATTTTTGTTCCAAGCAAGCAGAAATGTGCATATGACAGTTCAACTGTGCATTTTCTCACATAACTAATGAGACCATTCATCTGGAATATTTATAGACCAATCCTAGTTTCTTAATATGGTCCAAAATGGTTTTTTAAGCTTGGCTTTTCCACAGTCTCCAATGTTGTTGAAAAGAGATTTTGCTTTATCCATCGTCTTGACAGTATCATTATCGATCAGAAATGGGCTCCCGGAGCATGCCTTATCATTAACTTTTAACTGTCATGCCCGAAATAATCTTGGGCACAGCACTGGTATTCCAAAATGTCATGCTCGAGTATTACTCGGGCTAACTTTTTTGAGTACATCGTATTGTTATACCCGAATATATATTGTGAGAAGTTTATTTCGGCTTTCAGTTCAACAGATGGCAGCATTTTACTGAAGTTTTCAAAGGATAGAGGTTAAAGTTCAAAGTGCGCGACATTTTATTTATTTATTTATTTTGACTGCGAGGCAAACCTTTCATTTTTGAAATAAAAAAAAAATTACAGTTTATGCACCCAAATCATCAAAATAACTTGACAGTTAAAAGGTTAAGGTTGAAACTACTTGCTTTAAATTTTTCAAACTATCTTCTGCATGTTTTATCGACAAGTGCTTTGCCACCAAAACTTTTCACTAAATTCCAGCATGTTTCTGTGGTTTTTCTTCGTTGTTGGAATTTGTTCAAAATGCAGTGCCATAAACGAACTTGATTAATAGCCATATGTACATGATCATATCTCATTTATGGGACACATTTGTTTCAGTTAATTTAGAAGAGCATGTGTGTATAAATGCAGTGATAAAGGAAGGCAGTCGTATATGTCCAGAAGACCATGTAGAAAAAATTTTACAGCCTTTAAATGTGGGCATGTTTTTATTTGCTTGCTTTGGAAAACTTTTTCTACCAATCAGCTATGAGTATTATCCAAATTATAGTATTGTAATAGCTTTATAATATTGCATTTTATAATGTTTTATTGCTTATCAGTCAATTAGTCACTTCTATTCTACTAATAATTGGGATTTATCAAGCATATTTTCAAATTAGCTGTAACGAAATGTTGGAGTGCACTCCAAAATGTATTATATTGATCACATAACTCCCCCAACTGGCTTTATTTGGTGTTTGATGAAAGTTATTTAACTGCTTGAAAAGGCTAATTTTCTGGATAAATTAAAATGTATGTATAGTGAAAAAATTTTTTATATAAATCAATGACAAACTGAAGCTCATATAAAGCTAAAAAGCTCATATGTCTGCTCCAGACGCAGTGCAATGTGCCACAGACATTCGATAAAAACAACAGTCTTCCCTTTGAGTGGTGTCTCATGTGTGGCCAGCCGCTGGTCTTTTTCAGTTAGTACCTTTTAGTGATACTGCTGGCAACATGCATCACAGATGATACATGCATAGTGATGCATGTCTTTTTGCAGTAGTGTGAAAAGAAAATCTACCTTCTAGTACACATATTACACAGCCTTATGCAAACTTAGAAGCAGCTGTTACTGCTTTCTTCATCCCCTTGACATCTTCTTGACTCAAATCTCACTCATGACATCCATTCCAAAAATAAATAAAGCACACAAAATTTGCATCCCTTATTTAAAGCAAACATCATTGGCATGTTCAAATTGGCATTATTAATATCACACTTATTTGTTTAATGCAAAATATGAATAAGTTTCATCTTTCCGGATGCGCAAATATGCCATCTAAATTTCGTTTATCTAGCACAACTCCTTTTTGGTGTTAAGATTTCATTTTCCATCAGTGTATTTCCATTCATATTGAATGCCGTTGTATTAAAACATATAATAAGAACAGCCTCCTCAGAAGTTAAATATATTCTTCAATAGGTAAAGTGCAAGGAATCAAATCATTTAGGAATAAACTTCTATGTAAAAATTTAAATTTTGCAAGCAGTTTTTATCAGTTAATTAGTCTCATTATGGCTAGTGTTCATATTAATGAAATGTGATTGTATTTATAATTTGTGATGCAGATATTAAGTATGGGACAATATAAAACATTATATGAGTAACAACAAATTAGTTCTCCTTGCCCCTTCTCTTTTCATTGACCTTATTATATCAAAAGTGGATTAAAAATGGTATTACCTTTACATAATTTTTGCCTTTGAAAACTGCATAATAAATATGTCTGTGTGTCTGCATAAGCAATTCTCATAAGCTGTATGAGGATATTTAACATTATGCCTGCTATGTGCTTCAGTGATGATTCACGGTACCCATACTTTTCAGATCCGTCCACATCGAATGTGATTCACATGTTTTGTACTGTTTGAGGCCATGTGAGTCACCAGTGCTTCACAAACTAATATGCTCAGTTTGATTAGTACATTAAATTTGATCAATATTGCAATTATTGAATCCAGATATATCGAAGTTACTTAAATTGTTTTTCCACTTTTTCTAGGCTGAACAAATTATGAAAGTTAATTTTTTTGGGGGGAAAGGGGGTCTTCTTAATGTTTTTTTTGGGGGGTGAATGTAAGAAAAATAGCTTACAATACATATTTGTTAGGAATCTTTGTGTACATTATATAGATATTCTTTGTAATCATTAAATTATATTTTTAAATTATATATAAATCATATAATATATTTTTTCATCTTTTTTTTAGATAGCTATTAAAAATTAGAAATTCCTTCAGTTATATAGGAACAAATGTGAACTTTTGATGTAAAATATAATTTGTAATACATGCTAAACAACCATTTTCATAGTCAGGTTTGTAGTCAGAATTTGTGTTTATGTATGTAATGTATTTAAAGGATATGTTTGAAATTAGTTTAAATTTGAAATTGTGAAGATTCATGATATTTTGCTCTTAAATTTCAAATATTAAATAGCCCTTTTATGTCTTATCATTAGGTTGCTGCAGCTGCTGTAGGCTTAGCTCAGAGATGTTTAGATGAAGCTACCAAGTACAGTTTTGAAAGAAAAACATTTGGACATAAAATAGCTGAGGTATGTGTATTTTCCCCCCTTTTATTATGTATAAATTACCGAAATTTCATTTTTGTGATTAGTAAAATTTTTTAAGAAAAAAAATTGATTAAGTGTAATAACCATGCAGTGTTTGATGAAGCTCACATAACATAAATTAATAAATGTTTAATATATTTAGTTGTAATGAAAGTTTTCTGCTAAAAAAACGTTTTTAATAAAGTTAGGGAAAAAAAAACATGAAAGCAGTACCATTAGTGTAGGTAGTAATTAATGTATCACCACCCATATCTTATCATTTTTTGCCAACGTTTTAGTAGTTTTTCAGAGCCTTCGACCCAAAAACTTGGTGGCCACAAGCCTAAAAAGAGATCAACCTCATTTTGGACATCCTGTGAAGAATGGAAGAGAGTACCAGTAACATGTTGCTGCAGGCATGAAAAAAGCTAGAAATCCGAAGGAGCAATGTTGGGGCTATATGGTGGGTGTAGTAAATGATACCATTCGAGTTTGTACAGAGTAAAGCCAGTGAATGCAGACATGTGTGGTCTTGCATTATCTTGATGGAACATTACCTTTTTGCACCGGAACTCAATTCGACATTTTTCCTTGATAATTGCATCAACACAGACTATCATCTCGCTGTACACCTTACTGTTGAGGGTTTTATGGTTTTCAGATACTCTTTTTGGGTAATATGATGGCAGTCCCACCAGATACAAAGCAGGATCTATTTGTTAGTCAAATTGCGCTTGGTGACGCTGCCGACGGGTTTCAACTTGCACCGGCCAGCCATCTTTTCAGCCTGTGTTGTTGAAGTAAATCCATTTTTCACCACAAGTGATGATCTGGTCTAGAATTTTCTCTTTGCATTGATATTCAAGCAGATTAGTGCAGGCCTGAACATGTCTGCCTATATCTTCTTGAGTCAGCTTGATTATCTTCCATAAATTCTCGCAGGTGGGCCTCATCAACATCAGTAATCTGCTTGAGTCAGCTTGATTATCTTCCATAAATTCTCGCAGGTGGGCCTCATCAACATCAGTAGGCTGGCCGGAGTGCTCTGCTTCTTGAATGTCATAGTCCTTGTTTTTTAAACTTTTGGTACCAAACCTTCACAGTGTCATATGTTACAATATTTGTACCTAAAAGCTACAGAGGCTGTTCACATATTTTTTAGACGATGTATATTGTATTCACAAAACTAAATTGCATAAAATTCTTGTGTTTTAAATGTTCTATTTGACATCCCGTATTCTGAACTATCTTTCGACGCCGCAATTTCCAGGATAATAATGCCTTTTGAAGTGGTAGAAGAAGTATTCTATCTCATTCCTCCCGAACAGCTTTCCAGTCCTGTTAGGGTTTGGAAACAATGTTTGGATAATGCAGTTTTTAAAAGTCCGAAAGCACAAAAATCCACATCGAGAGATTTAGTAGAGATATCAGTGAAGGGTATGGCCTTGGTACCAGTTTTTTGTTCCATTTCTTTTAGAAAATTTACAGTGAATTTTGATGTGTGACTGCTAGCTTTGTCCTGATGGAGTCTCACAGATTGATGGCACTGAGGGTAAAGCGATGGTATTTCATTCAGAAAAATTGGTGATAAAATATGTTCCTGATAGTATTTGGAGTTAATCTTGACATTTTTGTCCCACTTGAGGTTCCAATTTGACGAGTTTTCTTTTTTTTTTTTTTCCCCTGTCTTGTTGATGATATTACCTATCAATGCTTTAGATATCACAAAACCATGACGCTCACATCGTTTTGGGATAACAGAGTATGCATATTTCTCTTCGGAAAGAGCGTAAATGTAGCCTTTGAACCACTGCTTTGTTAAATTCATCATTTTGAATAAAAACAAAGCTTTCAAGACACAGATGATAATTTTGACTTTTAAAAACATAGTGCAATTGCAATTACTTCTTTTGCAGCAAACGATTTTTTATTACCGCTGACCAAAATCGTCTAAAAAATGTGCGAGCAGCCTGTATATACATGATTTGATGAGATTCTGTAGCTGACTTTTTACCACAGAACTGGAAGTTACAATGGTTCTAATCTGGTAGCCTGATAGTTCCATTTCAGACATCTTCTACTTGATTATAATGATATATTTTTATAAATTCACAACACAGTGTTCTGAAGCAAATCTCTTTCTTTCAAATGCTAAAAATTGTTTGACAAAATATGATTAAACGCACCAACGCAAACTGTTTGCACAGACCACATTTGCAGTGGCAATAAACTTTCATTAAAACCCAATATTATACATCAAAATATAAGGCTTCATCACTATTTGAACTATAATTTTGTTCTCTTCTTTTATTTTTTTATTTTATTTTTTATTTATCTGATATTTATAAATAAAAAGAAGACTATTTTTTAAACATTAGATGGTTTTATTAACAATCTTCTTTTCATTAAGGATCATAAAAAATAATTAAAAAGCATACTGGCTCATTGTCTTGCATTAATCTCTACATATAATAAAAGAAAGAGTCTGTGTGTCTTTCGTTTGCGCTGCGTGTAAGCTAATAGACCCACAGCTACGAAATTTGGTACATAGGGGCATCTAGAAGGCATACGAAATTTGGTACATAGGAGCCAGTGCACCTCGAAGCAATTTTTTCGAAATTCGAATTCGAATTTTTTTTATTTTATGTTTTGTGACGAGATCGCGTCATTTTGAGACATAATGGGCAATAGGAAAGCGAGATTTTAGTCCACACACTCCATTTTCACATCGTCATGAAACGTAGGCACTTAGCTATTTTACGAACTTAAAATAAATTTCGTGTTTCAATAAATCGATTAAATACGAATTTATTTAACAAAGGAAGCTTAACAACACCTTTTTCAACGGGATTTTTTTCCAAAAAAGTTTTTTTTAAAAATGTACAGTTTTATTTTTTCTTGGATTTTTGGACACGTTAAACTTTCAAATCATCTTGCGACTGCTTTTACAAAAAGAATTTAGAGGAATGATAATATTTGTATTTTTTTTTTAAAAAAAATTTAAATGAAGCTTCTGAGTAACACTTCTCACCTCTCACATCTTTAAAAATAAATGTTGATTTTTGGCAACAATTTTTCCTTTTCTTTGTATTGTTGTTGATAGATTTTTGATGAAATCGCATCATTTCGAATAGTTTCATTCTTTTAGAAATATGGGTTCGGCAACAATTTTTCATCATATTTCTTATGTCACTGTTTTTAAGAGATTGGCATATTTCATTGCCATTTTTTTTATATATATAATAATACATTTTTATTGATTTTTTTTATAAAGTTGTTCTGCAGAGTAAAATTTTCGTAGAATTTTATGTTTTTTTTTAGTTGTTTCCATGTTATTTTTTTGCTCATTTCACTGTTTGTAATATTGAAAAGTTTTTGCATGATTTTTTTTTTTCTTCAACAGAAAGTTGGTAATTTTTTTTATTAGGATAATTAATATTTTATTAAGGGATATAGCTTATTCATTATAATTTTTTCTCTTGAAAATATAAGATAAAATATCATTAATGATACTTTTGATTTTCAGAATTTTTGTTTTTTGGTATTTTTTATGTTATTTATTGCTCATTTCACTGTTTTTAAGACATTGAAAAATTTGAGTGATTTTTTTTTAGAAAACAAGCTCTTAACCCCCTCCTTTATACCATTTGAGTTCTTAAGATTTTGCAAAGGGAAGTTGGTTAATTTATTTATTAGAGTAATTAATATTTGTATTAAGGGATATTGCTTATATCATTGTAGTTTTGTTATACGTAATAACTTTTTTTTTATGAAGTTGTTCTGCAAAGTAAAATTCTATGCAGTTTTTAAATTTAACGTTTGGTGTTTCCTTCAGCCATTTTCCCGGTACATTTAAAAGCCAGACGAAGGCTGGCACCGAAGCTGGTAGTAAACAATAAAATACCAGAATGTGTGAAAATATTTAAGGTTAGATCTGAAAGCCCTGAAATTTTTAAGATCCATCCGTTAAACAACATTACATATATTAAAGATACTGCATTAATTTATGGTAATATATTAATTTTCAGTGCAATGTTTCCCCCTTTTTTTTTTTTTTTCTATGACAGAAAAAAACCATGGTTATGAATTTAAGTACAGGCTATTTCAAGAACATTGCATGTTTAAATGTCTCTTGAATGGCATTACATTGTTACATTTTTCCAAGTTTGAAATTAAACAAATAAAGTAGACCTTTGATATTTTTAGTCATATGGTATCTTTTGGTAAAAATTCATGAAACTCAAGAGCCTGTAGGAAAAATTTTTAATAAAAAATGTGCTTCCATAGTCAAGCTAGTCAAATCAGAACAAAATCCATTCCTGTATGTTTAAAAATTTTTTAGATATTATTAATTAATATTTGAGAAGAGGCGACTATACACAAGTTCTGCATTAACATGTATCTATTTTTTAATGCAAATATCTAAAAGATACCTTTTATATAGAGAGAAAAGAAAAAATTAACTACCATTTGCAGAAATGCTACAATTTCAAACTTTGTATTGGATGAAATTCAGTTTTCTGCAGCTCTTAAAAGTTAATGCTTATCCATTGGGTAAAAGTGATTTAAGTCATATAGTCTTGATAATTTTTTTTTCAGGTTTGATTTTGCCAACTAATTTGATTTATCTATTTACTTATTTATTAATTCTGTATTGAGGTGAGGAATAATTTATTAATTGAAACTTAATGAGCATTTATAAAAATTTAAATTCCTTCTTCCATTTTTAATGTAAATTATCACATCACAAATTTTTCTGTAGTGGAATGCTTATATTATTTGAATCAGTTCTGAAGCAGCATCTATAAGCTTACTGTCATCCATTCAAAGTATAGTCATGCAATCTTTAAGTAACCTTTTAAATAAAATGTAATCTCTCTGTAAATTCAAATTTTTTCTTATTTTTTAAAGTAAACAAAATTAGTATTCAAATTAAATCAATATTATGGTTCTGTTACAAATTTTTGTGGTTGTTAATATTGCTGAATAGAGTATTTCACAGTTCTGCTACATGCATACTTTTGAAGATAGATCATTTTGTTGGAAAGTCTATTTCTAACCATCTGAATCCTGTAGTTAAACTGTTTCTAGAATAACATATCATCTGAATCAGAGATAAAACAGTTTGTTCCAACTTATTTGCTGAAAATTTTGAACCATGAATAGGTTTATAAATTCCTTGTCATTAGGATATATTTACCAATTTACTTTAAGCACCTGTGTACTGTGTTGTATTTATCAGTTTCTAAGCACTTGTATACTGTATTAAAGAGGAACTCAAAGAGAATGAGATCTCATATGAAGTTATGTTTTTTATATAGTAAAAGTTATTATATTCATATTATTCTGCTGCATTAAATGCTTCCTGATTCTTTCTTCTTTTAAACTGCTTTTTTTTTCTTGAATTCTCTTCGAACATAAGTGAAACTAAGAAATTAAAGCAATCAACCAGGGGCTGATTGGCTAAAGCTGCCAACTCTAGTAGTTCAATGAGTGTTCTGTTTGGTTGTTGAATGAGCTTCCTACACTTATGGTGTTTCCGGATCAGTAATGTAAATATGTTTCAGTTTCCCTTTGAAAGTTCTCCATTAAAGTTCTTTCTCACATGCATATAGCCATATTACATTTTGTTGTAATAAAATAATTCAATCTGGCCAACAATTCAAACTGGAAGCAGACCAATAAATTGTTAAGTGAAGATTTTCACCAGTTTTATATTTCTTAAATTGTTAATTATTGAGTTTTGATTAAAGAGCTTAGTGAAAAGTTTTAATTAAAATTAAATTTTAGTTAATTATTATAGTATTTCTGATTAAAATAAAATTTTGTATTTCCTTCTCTCTTAAGGAATTTTAATGTTGAAAAATCCTTAAAATGATGTGGATTACATTTTACTGTTGTTACATTACTGCCTGAATGGTGTTAATTTTGTCAAAAATAAACTGGGAAGTTATATATGAATTAATTAATGTTGTTATCTTTGTAAGTTTCATTTTGGTTAATGTATTGAGAGAATATTTCATTTACTTATGCTGAATTTTTATAGATATCTTGTTATATTTTTATAGCATCAGGCAGTTCAATTTATACTTGCTGAAATGGCTATTGGAATTGAAGTTTCAAGAATGGCATGGATGCGAGCTGCATGGCAGACAGATAATGGTGAAAGAAATACTTATTTTGCATCCATTGCTAAAGCTCTTGCTGCAGATGTTGCAAATAAGTGTGCCACTGATGCTGTACAGGTATTTTATAAATTATGGAAACAGTCTCGTAATCTAATGTAGTTTAGCATATAAAACAAGAAAATGTCAAATTGTTTTAATGAATGGCCAGTTGTAATGAATGACAAAAATAATTTGAGCTGTAATAAGTTGGAAAGTCTCTTTGCAAGTGTTGATGTCAGGTCATGAAAGTAGGCAATTGAGAATATCTTGAAATGTTTTTTTAAAACTGGTTTAACCTTGTACTTCTTATGAATTGTCATTCTTACTTGAATATTGTATTCAAATGGATGATAAGTGATAAAGCACAAGTGTCTGTTAAGAATATTTCAACATCTTAATTTCTTGTTTGATGCTTAATATTTTTAGTGTGAAACAAGTACATTAAAATTGCAGTTTTATACATTTATAGAATGAAAAGTATCATGAAATAATAGTAAGGTCATTTTTATAACAGGGCATTGCATATTTTATTCTATTCTGAAAATAATCTTGTAATATTACTGTTGTAGCCATTATCTTTATAAGATTTATGCACCAGTGTAATTATTTCTGAATTTTCCAAATATAGTCAAAGAGTAACCGAAGAATAACTATAGAATCATATTACTTTGGCATCTTTTATGGAAATTTAGTTGCTAATTAGGTAGACTTTTTTTTTTTTTTTTTTTAATTTGCTGATTGTTGCTTCTGCATTATTGCTTTTCTTTGTAAACATGTTAGCATCGAATAGCAGCCTTCCTTGGAGTCTACCTTCCTATATTTTTCAATGATTATGCTTCTACAAGAACTAATCTATTCACATTAATTTCTAAAAAAATCTTTTCATGCTATAGCTTTTGTGAACATCAGAAATTAATAAATTTATAGCTGTCACGAGCAGTTATTAATTGGTTATATCCAATTTGTCAAACAGTCTTATCAAGCAGCATTGCAATGTGATATGTTATAAAAATATTTGGAATTGCTTCCATGGTCTGTGATTTTGGTAGCTTAAATTACTTCTATATACATGAGCATAATGGCAATCATGTAGCCATACAGAAACAGTTTTGTAAATTTAGAAGTATTAATCAAGTTTTCAAAAAGTAACGTTTATGATAAATTTTAGCTAATAATATTGTAAATATTTATTTGCAAATCGTGTATTGACTTTTTCTCTAATGTATGTCATGATTATGTATAGGCTTTAGAAGTTTGTTTTAGTTAATTTGATTTATTATTTTCATGATCTGTATTCCAGTTATTTCTTTAGACTGAACACTAATTATTTTTAAGGATATGAGTGTGTAAAAAAAAAATGAAAAATTGTAAATGCAAATCTTTGTATTTAATTTTTTCATTTTTCTAAAATCTGTGTAGTTATCATCACTATTTGAAAATTCAGAATTTTAAATTAAATGCTTTGTGAAAGATTAATTATTAATTTGAGTATCAATACTGGAATGTTTCCTTAAGAATATTTTTTATAGAAAACTGTTAGTATGCTATTCTAAATTGTTAAGTATATTAAAATATATGCTCTTTACTGTGCAGCAGGTTCACCAACTTGTTCCAAATAGTAGCAATGTTTAAAATGTTTTGTTTCAAAAACAGATTTAAAAGTACATTTTTGAAATCACATTGCTGCTAATTTTTAATTAGATAAATTTTCGGATTGTATGTCATGTAATGTTAAAATTATAAACTTCCCCCCCCCCAGCTTTAATATTTTAGCTTTCAAATATTGAAAACAAGATCATTGACCTGAGCACTTTGCAAATTCACATAATTTTATATGTAATGAAACATTCAAATAATATTGACACAGTGTGTAACCAATTATTTCAAAGCAATTGTGATTGAAAATAGTGCAGATGGTCATAGAAGAGATGCTGAAAAATTGAAAATATGATCTTTTTGACCTGCATTAAGGCAGAAAAATTAGCTGAAATGCAAACTTATCTATACTTATTAAAACTTTGAAATAACACATTAAACCTATTTTGCAGAAAATATGTGGTAAAAAAAATCACTCTTAAATTATCTGTATTCAGTGATACTTTATTGAGATTTCTGCTTTTTTTGCAACTTCTTACGTATTATTAAATCAGTTTTTGAGAATATTCATTTATTCTAAATATTCCTTCATTTCTAAAAATGCTAGTATTGGTGTAACAATTTTAATGTTGCTTATCTTATGCTTTTGCTTCTATACAGTTTTATATTTTTATTGCAGATATTTGGTGGTAATGGTTTCAATAGTGAATATCCTGTTGAGAAGCTGATGCGAGATGCTAAGATATATCAAGTTAGTTTCTTTCATCTTTCTATCTCATAATTGTAGATATGTCACTGAGTTTTTAATTCAAGCTAAAGTATGATTTTTAATCATGATTGTATGTCACTTCTTGGAAAAATCATGATACCTACTTCCATATAAGCTATAAAATTGCCATTTAAGATTATCTGTTTTGAAAATGTAAAAGTTTCAATGCCATAAGATTATTTTTGTAAATATGCTAATTTTTCATGGTAGTACAGTCAAATACCGAAAATCCGCGTTGCCTCTCAAAATATAAACATTTAGTTTATAGGTTCCGGAAACTGCAACATGGAGTATGAAATATCGAAGAAAAAATACTATAATGATGTCATAATTACCGAATAATAATGAATTATGATGGAAATAACAAATTATTGACATCATGATAAGAGTTTTTTTCCCCCTCCAATCTGCATTGAGGTTAAAAAGCAGATGATGAACTCGACTCTCCTTTCAAGTTCACGCTTCATGTTGTTGTACTTTCTGAACTTTGTTATTTCACGAGATTGTTTGGTGATGTTGTTTTTTTTTTATCCGTATATTTTGTGGATAAATTAAGAATATTTTTAATTTCAGCACTTTTTAATACAATGACAGATAAGAAATGCATTCATGATTTTACTGCTTGCAACGTTTTGAACACGTTTCATTGACGGTAATGAAAAAAGTGGAAATTCTGCTAAAGATGGAGGCAGGTGCTACTGCGCAAAATCGTATGGAATTGCCACACGGACTGTGTATGATATACAGAACAATAAAGAAAAGCTGTTGGAATTTTACAGCAACATTGATTCTAACACCGGAATCCGAAACCGGAAATCTTTACATAAGGCGAAATCGGCAAACATCGATGTACGAGTGCTTCCGGCAGCGGCGGAGTGATGGTGTACCTATTCCTGAGAGAAAAGGGGAAGCAGATGCATGCTGATTTAAAAATAGAGGAGCCTAATGTAAATGAACAATATAATATAATCATTTTATATATGAAATAGTAATTTAATGCATATAATTAATTATTGTATTATAGTATATAACAATTTAATTAAATGTATCTAATGCGCCTTATTTATTTTGCACTTTTAGTATGAATATTATCTTTTTTGTCCTGAAATCCACAAAATCCTAAAATCTGCACAACCTCTGGCAATTTCTGGACATCTACTGTATTATAATTTCATAGCTGCCAATTTCTCCAGTTTTTCAATGTGTCTTGTGGTGTCTGATTTTTAGCTTTTCTTAAGAAAAGTGTTTCCCAGAAATTAATGAAGTTAAAATTGTGTAGATTCCATCCTCTTACTGCTAGTGATTTTCAGCATAAGTTTCTTTATTAAATTTTATTTTATCTGAATTGCCTTTATATCCTACAGACGTTTGTAGAACTTCTTATGAAGATTCATCTGAGGTTTAATGAGTATACTTAAACTTGAATTAAAAACTCAGTGATGTATTTATCTGACATTAAGAAATGTTTCATTAACAAGTTTACCTATGCAGTAATGTGTAAATTAGTTATTATTTTGATTTTCTTCATATTTAAAAATACTTTGATAAATAAAAGCTTTCCTTCCCGCTCAAAATTTTCTCAGTGCAAAAGTGTAATAAAATTGGAAAATTGGCCAAAAGGTATGAAATGTGTAGACTATTGAATTAAATATTAATTTATTTTACATTAGAATCACATTATAAATAATTCAGTAACCCAAATCAGGCATTATAAATTAAATTTAAGTGAGTTTGAAGTTCTTTTGAAATGGCATAGCATGAAACTCTCGATTTTTAATATTTTAAGGTTGACAACTATATAACCGCATTTATTATCCATCTGTATAGTGATATAATAGTAGTAGTATATCAACAAAAGGTATTATGTCACAATGAATTTTTCCCCTTCTATTTGGGATTTGTTATAAGAATTACAATGAAAGTTGGAAATTTTCCATTAAAGCCATATCATACTTTTCCATTAAAGCATACTTTTCTTCTTTTCTCTTAAAAAGCACTTTTTCAAGTTATTAAAAAATACAAAATATGTGTGTAACTTTTTGTAATAACACTTTGGCACATTATGAACTATTTATTTAAATTTTTTAATGGAAAGATTTTTTGTTTGCAGTTTAAGAGGTGTGTGTGTATTTTGTAGTAATAAGTTTCTGCAGAATATTTTCCATCATAACAACATCTGTGGAAAAAAATGAATTAAATTTCTCATTTGATCCCTTATTTGAGAACTAACTATATGTAGTTGTTCTAGTAATAAATATGAGGGAGGGCTGTGTGCAAGCAGTTGGACGTTATTTGTGAAAAATAATTTGTTCATTTGTCATTTTTTATGAATTGGCGCAGGAAAAGTATTTCACTTACACTCTATATGTTTTGTATTTCAGATTTATGAAGGAACAGCTCAGATTCAAAGGATTATCATAGCCAGGGAACATTTTAATAAATTTCAGCAGCAGCTTCAATGAATCAATGTTTGAATGATATGGAATTGTGCAATGCAAGCAAATAAGCATATTCAATGTTTAATATGAATTACACATTTCTTCATGTTGATTTTGTATCTGAATAAATATTTTTTTAAAGTGTTTTGTCTTTGAATGTGAATTGACTTATTTTTAACTTAATATACATTTTTTCAAGTTACAGAAATATTAATATTTTAATATATGGATTAGAATATTTTTATAATGTGAAGCAATGTATCAAATTTTTCTGAGCTGCAGCCTTTTTTAAGAATGCCAAAAAAAAAAACTTGAACCTGCGTGCCTCATAGAAGAGGTATTTTTAATAGAAAAAAAAAAAGCAAATACACAAAAAGTTTTTTAGAATGTAATTCTAACATAATATTTAAGCATTGGTAGTTCTTGCATTTGGGAGATAGACTTCAAAATTTGGACATAATTTTAGTTGAAACAACTCACATTAGGACAGATGGTTTCAGTATGAATAAAACTGTTTTACTTATTAAATTTGAAATTAATACTTTGAAAATTATCAAACATACTTCAGTGAATTTTGCATGTAGTAGATGTCACTTAACCCCTTCGAGCCGGGTAGCGAAAACGCGCGCTTATCGCGTAGGCCGGCAGTGTCTTCCGCGAGCGTCTCTCCAGGGCCGGGGGCTTTTTTGCTACTAAGCCTAAATCCATGAAATTTCCGAAGTATCACGCATTGTTTATAATGCTCTATAAGTATTTAAACGGCTTATGCTTTATAGATATTTTTATATATATAATTACCTTATTGTTTAAAATCCACACATTTTCTTTAATTACTCATCATTTATAATTTTAATGACTTTTAACTACATTATCTGAAACTAAATTTTATTTAATTCCTCTTCATAAAAATTTTAAAACAGGATCTACAACAGTCCTACGTTAATTCCTTGAACTCGTAATACTCTTTGCCGTTTTGGAGGATTTTTCCGGGAATGTGAACAAACAAAAGCATCGTCGTCTCATTTTCTTATCAGTCTCTCTGACAAAGTTTTGGAATGTCTTTCGTTATCTTTCAGAATCAATATCTGAAATTTTTGCACATTTCTGCTATTTCATGCTCTGGTAACATTTTCGACATTGAAAACTGTAAAACAGAAAGAAATTCACGTCTAACAAGATCTAATTATTTTCTAAAATGACTGTAAACCGAAATACTACTCCAAGCTTTAGGCATTAAAAACTTCTACTTACAAAAACAATACCCGTGCGAATAAAAACGATTTAAAGAGACATCATAAATCACGCATTCAGAACATTTAGTTCCCCGTTGTTTATATAACAAAAACGCGTGTATGTGAGTCATGCTTCTCTCATTTAGTAGAAGGTCTAATGTAACATGTATCTGAAACCATTATGGACATACAGTGCCATCTTGTGCAGAAATTATAGTTTTGAAAAACGTTCCAAGGTATGGCACAAATACATGACAGTCGGTAGTAAACGCAACAAATCTCTGGCACGCCTGCGTGTCGGCCGGTAGATAAGTGTGTTCGTTGCTGGCACGTATACGTGACAGTCGGCGCGAAGGGGTTAATATGATCACAATTAATGTCATTATTTAGATATTGCCATTCATTAGCCAAAGTCTTGCTCATTTGTATATGGAAACGTGGAAAATACGCAGCTGATTATGTTCAACAATTTGGTTAATATGAACATGCTGTAACAGAATAAATTTTTAAAGTTAAAGTTGCAAAATAAAAGATAAATTCACCAGTTGAGGTCAAAAAAGTTAAAGTGATGTGTTTAAATCACTAAACAATTTTGTTTTGATTTCAGTCAACCATTTAAAGATGAGCAAAAAAGCAGTTTTAGTTTCATGTATTTTTTGAATAACTCTGCAGATTTTGAGAATAATTAGACACAAAACTTTCTTCAAGAGCAGAAATAAAGTTATGCAGATTTTTTTCCCTTGAAGACAAACTAATGCTCCCTTTTTGCTTAATTTTACATTGGCATGTTTGTTCACTTACAGTGGGGGATGCTTTCTTCTTTTAACATTAGACAAATAATTTTCGGAAATGTTTGTAACTTTTGTGTTTTCCTAATTGCAATGCCATGAAAATATCTATTTATAAGTTTCTTGATATTTTTATATTAAATTAGTTAAATTCCATAATTTTGGTTTTTTTGGAAGGATCCCCCCCCCGCATCATTTAATGTTATCATTTGGTTAATGTTACCAAAATAGCAGTGGACAAATGCAATAAATATCATACAGTATAAAGACGTGAATTGACTGTTAATTTTAAAAAGCTGTTGAATATTTTACTAATTAGAATTTATATTCCAGGAGGTCAGTAAAAAGTTGGGAATTTTTTCCCTCTAAAATATCCACAATAATGAAACTATTTTCATAAAATTTTGTACCTATATATAAAGATTAGTATGCAATCACATATTTTAGTGCACCACTCGTTGCATTTAGTTTGCATTTAAAGCTTGACTAACAGTAACTAAACTTTATGTGAATTGTAACTGTTAGTAAATCCTTAATTTTTCTGTTATATTATGGTTGATAGGTTTTACTTACTGTTTGCTTTATAATTCATTAATTACCTTCAGAATTTTTTTTTCTTTCTTAATAAAATAAGCTTTTTTGGATTAACTTCCATTTTCAATCAGCATTTAAACTATATTAACAGTTTAATATAGTTAATACTAATTTATACATATAATACTATATACCAGTTTTAAATGTGATTAATTTTTGTTATTTGTATTTATCTTATTCTTTATTTTTGTTTGTGTTTGTTATTTATTTGTTAATCTTGCACACTTTATGCTTTATTTTAAAATCAGCTTGATGATATATGACTCAAGACTCGATTACGTACACTTTGTTGGAGGAAACTACAGCGAACCGTACAACAACAGAAATTTATTGAATGACAATATACAGTATATAATCAATAATGACCTTAAGAAAGTTTGATTGAAAATATAATTTTATCAGCAGTTAATAATTGTCAGTCTAGTATTTCATAATAAAATGTTATTGAAACTGTAATTATTTCTACTTCTCTTTTAATGATTATTTTATATTTTTTTTTTTTTTTTGGTGTGTGTGTGGGGGGGGGTACATTATTTTTAAGTGCTGAGGTGTAGGAAAAGAAAAGCTTAAGATTCTTTAAAACCCTTTCTTCATGAAAAGTGCATATGTACAAAACACTAAGATTTCTTTGTAATATCATTTACAGAATTCACAGAATGTGATTGAAAAATCTGATTTTAGCCATATTTTTATAGACTGGAACTATGCAGCAAGGTATCCATATAGATCTAAAAATATAATTTTAAAAACCAATAACATTTTGTATTGAAATGAATTTTTTAAATGTACCTTTATTTACAAGAAAATACTAACTTACTTGATATTATTTTAAATTTGACTGCTTTGTATAACAGTTGTATATTTTTGCTAGATTTTTATGTGTAACTAGCAACGAATGCAAATATTGTGACTTTCAGTCTAACTGAAAGTTACAAAATAAGCTTACAGTGAAATAAAAATATGAAAACAATGATCTAGTGGAAACAGTTTTTATAACAAATGCTGCTTTAGTTTAAGGTCACTTCTTCTTCTGATGGTGTGACCCTGTGATTTTGTTGCCCCCTAGTTGGTGCTTGTTGAGCTGCATCTTCTGCAGGTTCACTATAATCAATCAAGAAGTAAAATATTAATTAAATACCATGTAATTGACACATTACTTGCTGATGGGAAAATAAACAGTTAAGTAGTCAAAATAATATTTGTTTCCATAATATGAAAGCAAACAAATAATTATAGAGGTGTTTTTTTTTTTTTTTAAATTTAAAGAAAAAAAAATCTTTTTAGTAAATAAAAACTAAAATTTATTCAAAGTACTCTTTATTTTATGGAGGCATGTAATAGCTGGGCCACTATTGCCTTCTGTGAAAGGACAGACAAATAATATCAATGCCTTCTCTGGGATTCCAACCCGGGCCCTTCGTTACAGCAGTCAGTGTCACTAACCAGTTTTCTATCTGAGCTACAGGGGCTCATAGATGTAACATAGGTGATTTGCATTCTTATAAACTTTCACTTTTATGACCTACACATGACATGGTTTAAGATGTTTTTAATGGCTTTCCGTTTACAGCTTCTTATTTTACAATATTTGTTAGATCTGTACATATTTTTGAAATCAAAGAATCCACTGTATGTGCATGTAAGAAGTATCACATGTCTCAAATTTAGCCTACTTTATTTCATTCTTTTCTTTAAATGAAATGATATCAGTCATTCAAAAGCTATTTGTGCATACAGCATTTTTGAAGTAACAGAATAATATTAATTTTTTTCAGTTTATTGGTTAAAATTAATTATTTTTATTTAATACGAGATGCATAAAAAATACAATAAGCTTTTAGGTTATATTATAAGCCGAAAAGGCCATTAGCCCAAATGAGCTATTAGTCTGAAAATGAGATTTTGCATCATCAACTATAAATGACGAATCACTTTTCAAATTGTTGCTACCAAATATTCTTGCCCTGTGTTATTTTAATGAACTATTATGCATCACTATGTTTAATTATTATAACATAATGAAGAAGCTGCTTGCATGTATGTCCCTTGCATTGTGAAAAAGCAGTGGTAACTAGAGCCATCAAATTTTGAATAACGTTCACCTGGAAGCACAAATTTTATATTTCCTATTTTGTAAATTTTTAACGAATTTATGATTAACAAACTCAACGATTTGAAAGTGAACAGTGTCACTGTAGGGAATAAAACATTTTTATCTTCAGTGAGTTAGACTGTCTCTTGGAAATTCTAAAGATTTGCTTTTTTTAAATATTTTGTGATTTTGCTGTTGAATTGAATTTTATGTGGTGTGAGTGAGAAAAACATGACATTTTATTAAATAATTTAACATGCAAAATGTTAATAGAAAACAGACAAAGTTTTGCTAGTTATTCATACTAAGAAAACTGTACATTGATTTGATGAGAAAATACTAAAAATATGGAAAAATGTTTGGCAATACTTAACACTGGATCAGAAATTCTGAACACATGCTGCTTTTAAAATTTTTGTAATTTTGCTGCTAAATTGTGTATGACATAAATTTGAAGAAAATGAAACCAAATAATAAAACTAAAAAGACAAAAAGAAATGGCCTAGTAAAACAGCAGGCTGGCTGACTCTGCAACCTCAGCGAGAGCATAGAAAACCTTAACAAACCCTTTCAGATCTCTCTCTCTTTTTTTTTTTTTTTTTTTTTTTTTTCTCCTGTTATAATTTTTGGGGCTATATGTATTTTTTGATCAATTATGAATTCCATACATGTGTGTAAAACTGGCAAAATAAATAAATATGTATGTGTGTACACATGGAAATAGTTACAAAATAGTATGTGATTAGTGATGAATCGGTACTACCGAACCGGGTATTTTGTAACGGGTACTGAAAATCGGTACATCCAAGTACCCGTTACTTCAATACCGAATCGGTACTTTTCGGTATTCGTTACTTCTGTACCGAAACGGGTACTTTTCGGTATTCGTTACTTCTGTACCGAAACGGGCACTTTTCGGTATTCGTTACTTCTGTACCGAAACTGGTGCTTTTCGGTATTCGGTACTATGTAACGAAAATATGCGTCTCTTCTCGGTATTTCGGTATTCGTTACTGGAGGATCGATGAGGGTTCAGCTCGCTTCGGTTTTGATACGAGGACAGTAGTATCTGGTTGTATTTGCGAAATGGTGATATGCGCTCCTTATGTCCATGAATGGCCTGCTCCTCAGACACTTCCGTAGTTGACATGTTTTCTGATATTCAAAATCATACTCCGTACAGAATAAATCTAACACGTGGTGACGTAGCTGAGTTCCTTCAGTGCGCAAAATCGTTAGCTGCGTATTTCGTTACTCCAAATCGTTACTAGGGCACTTCGGTACTCCAAATCGTTACTAGGGTACTTTGGTACTCCAAATCGTTACTAGGGTACTCCGGTATAGCAAACCATTACTAGGGTACTCCGGTACAGCAAACCGTTACTTCGGTACTTTTCAAAGTAACGGGTATTTTGTACCGGGTACTTGTCTGTACCCGTTACTCTCGTACCGGATACAAGAAAGTACCGAAGTTGCCCATCACTATATGTGATATTCTTGAATTGTTTACAATCTATTAAGTGTATCTAAATGATTTAAAAACCAATTTACTCTGTACATGCCAGGAAAGAATCCAAGTACCAAAAGTAATACTGAGAAAAGTATTTTAAAATTTTGATTAAAGTTTGACTTACCATCCAGGAACAGTAGGAGCCCAGTCACAACGGAGAGATTCTGCACTAAATGCTAGTCCAGCTGGACACCTTTGCAGTCTGGGATAACCTCCTACACACAGCCAGTAACGAACGCAAGATCCTTGCATTTCTTTCACTCCATTGGGAATACCTTTGCAAAGAGCTGTAAAGAAACAACCACATAAAGTATTATTTATTTTTAAATAAAAAGTAGGAAGGTCAGTTTTATGTGATTAAAAATATTTCTTTATCGCACTGTGTATCGCTTGCCCTACTGTTATATTCTGCTGTTTATTATCTTCAGCACATTATATGTATCAAAATATGTGTGTTAATATTAACTTACATGAAACATTAAAATAGTACATAAAGTAAAGAATTTTGTGAACTGTGATAGATTTTTATGCATTTCTTTTATGTGAATTTATTCCTTTGACTTATGTTCTTTAGTGAAGTTGTTGGTATTTCATCCAGGATTAAATAATTTTGCAATAAAGTCTTCCTTCAGCCAGCACTGTAATTTACCCTCTCTCACTCTCTCTCTCTCTCTCTTTTTTTTTTTTTTTTTTTTTTTTTTTTTTTTTTTTTGTTTTAAATAATTGCATAAATCTTTCTGGTATTCTACCCGAAATCATGTCAGAAAATAAGAATGTAACTATTTATTCTATGTTTCCATAGAATACATATTTATAAATTTTTCAAGTAGAATATTGAATTTTATTTTATTTTACTTTATCCTACGTTATTTATTTATTTGGTAGTTACAAGAAAAATTATGCATATGATAAAATCTAGTTCTGAACACATTTAAAAATAATTTTATATGCTTGAAAAACCAAAGAATAGATCACTCAAAAATTGTTAAAATGCGATTGCCTTAATTTACTTTTCCCCTTTTAATTTACTCCTTGAAATGCAAATTCTACAAGTTTGCTTGATATTAATCGTAACTTATCAAGTACACTTGAGAAAGACTGATAACTCAGCAAAACTGTTATATAACAATTTGTTTTATTTTCAGGTTTCAGCGCCATGAAATTTTTCTTCAATATTCCTCTGACTGCTTGCTTATTTCTTTTTTGCAATTTTTTTGTTTTTATATTTTATAAAATCATAATTTAGTTATTTTATATTGCACATAATATTTTCGAATATATTTATAAATATAACATGATAAGTTGGGCACGAAATGAAAGGGAATCTGCCCAAATTAACATTTAAATATTTTGCGTGACCGTCTTCAAATACGCGAAAAGTGTCATTATAATAATCCGATTCTTACCGTGCTTGTTCCATTATAGTCTTTGTAATTTGTCTCCATAGCAGTAACACTGCAGTTTTTGATGTCTGGAAAGCAAGAGTGGGGAAAACATACAAAAGCTTTAATATAATGCCCTAGGGGAATAATTCGTTTTCTAAGATCCGTTGACTTGGATGGAGCAGGATATAGAATCTAAAGTCTTTACTGCCTTTACAGTCATAAGCCATTATGTAACATACTATCCACTGTCATTGCTGATTCATAAAGAATTGCATAATGTAAATGATGCGAAAAGATGTTACCCTTTAAAATCTCCAAAACTGCGGCATACAAAAGGCTTGCAGCTTTGTAGATGACATTTTCTCAAAAAAATAGGTTTTGTGAAGCCGTAGTGCCCTCCTTGGCTGAAATCTAAAGTTAGAGAATTTCGTTTTTCATTTGATATACCAAATACACTCGTGTACAAAATTAAGAGAATTTTCACATTATATCAAATTGCTGAAAACTAATGGATAGTTTTTGAAGAAGTTTAGTATGAATGTACATTTATAACAGAGAAAGAGATATACCATTCAAAGTCATTTTATCCCAGTGGCATTCGATCCCACTTTTGCAACAAGGCAATTTTCAAAGCCAGAATGGTTCTCAGAAGGGCATGGCGAGATGAAATTGCCCTCCAAGAGCATCCCAGACATACTGTATAGGGTTGAGGTCAGGAGATCTGTCTTGCCAATCCATGTGGCGAATATTTTCACTTTCTAGACAATCATCGACTAACTGAGCCCTATGTGGACGAGCGTTGTCTTCCATTAACAGGAACTTAGGACAAACTGCGCCCCATACATTCGAATAAAAGGGCTCTAAGATCTCCTATGTATATCTCATAGCAGTCAGGCAGCCTTTGTCAAACACATGCTGGGGTGTACGGCCGTCAAATATAATGCCTGCCAAAGTATTACATATTCACCAAAGTAACGATCCTTTACCCTGATGAAGGAGGAATGGTATCTTTTTTCAGACTCTCTCCGGATACAAGTACGTACAGAATCTGTATCCAGGCTTAATCTTGACTCATCTGGTAAACAGCCCGATGCTCCACTGAAGTTTGGTTCAAAATGTTGTCTGCACCGTGCTAAACATGCTCTCTTGTGTATTGCTATGAACAAGACATAAACAGCGGGTTTTCTAGCATACAGCCCTATCTCATGAATTATTCGGAAAACTCTTTACCGTGAAACTCAGGTTTCAGTGGCAGCATACAGCTCGCGTAAGAGCTGTGGAGCTGTACAGCAGGCCTATGTCGCCGTGCTGAAAGTGCCAAAAAACGATCCTCATTCTCGGGTACCGATCTTGGTCGACCTTGTCCAGGACTTCTCAACATAGATCCAGTGTCCTGAAACTGTTTCCAAAAATTGCAGACAACACTGAACGTTACATTGAGCTTAGTAGGCGGCTTGGTAGTCACCTGCGCCTTGATCTGCCTCTAGTTTAACATCAATTCATCATCTCATCCATATTCTCCGTCTGCTCATCTTATCCATATTTCTTGACTACTCATTTTACCTGCCACCTTATAAAATTTATCCAACATTTGCGAGAAACACAGTAAATATCGTGAAGGACTATAAGCACGCAAGTAACGTGCGCTTATATATTCTCCCCGGATACGCACATGTACGCTTACGTATTCGAGCCTACATGTTTGCATAATTCTTCGGCGGCGTAATTAGTGCCTTTGATTCAATGTTTTTCATAAAAATAGACAAATTTCCAAATTCTCTTAATTTTACACACGAGTATATGTAGTTAAAAATTCTCATCTGAAATTGGCTTGATCATTTTGAATAATCTTGTTTAATAATTAAATTTAGTGCTAGAAATAGGCGTTCTGCAGCTGAAGGAGGAGACATAGTAATGACATTTATATGGCTTGAGGCCTTTTACATCATTTCTTCAATATGAAACCAGTAACGTATAGAAATAAGTAAACTGTTAAAGCCTAAACGGCAATTAGCTTGGGGAAAACCTAATATAGCGCAACTGCTTTGTAACCTCCAGTATCTTGAAGCAGGTACTGATATGAAAAGGGGCCTTTCCAAAACTCTCTGAGAGATTGGTTCTTTCAGTTACCTCAAAACAACTGTCAAAGAGTGCTTTTTAAATGTTGAATGTGCAAATCGTTGATGTAGACCGATTATATGTGCTTGCTAAGCCAATCATATTCTCACCTCGTTCTCGCTTATCAGTGATTTGGCGTTTGACTTCTACGATGATTCTTTTTTATATCTGCCTTTTTGTGGCACTTTCTTTGGAGACAAGTACGAAAACATAGCTTTTGAACTAAAAAGTACATAATAATGCGTCTGAGCAGAACTTTTACAAGCGACAGTTGGTTTCAGTGTTCCTCTGACGAAGTGGCTTTGAAGTTGATTGAACTTTTCTTCTATCATGTTGGTTTTTCTTTTAATTTCATTGATTTTTTTAATTGGGGTATTGCTTGTTTGAAGGTTTTTGGTTTTAACATCTTTTAAATTCTTTATTGCATTTATAAGATCATTTGAAATTCAATTATGAATTTCAATTTTTGGCCTTTGTGAAAAATTAGTTCTAAATTTCTTACCTTATGTCTTTACTGATAATTTTTCAGTAGCTTGATGCTCGAAATTATATTTTGTTTTTTAAAATTTTTTTTCTATATAATATATGTACAGCACATTGGTGACAAACTGTAGGGAGAGAGACTACACCTAGCGATGGAATCGCATAGAATGCGGTCGGAAACGAGTTTCCTGGGCGGTAGTAACGACCCAAAAGTCTGAAGAAGGAAACGAAAGGGGTGAGAAAACATGTTTATTATCGGTGTATACAAAACAAAGAAAATCACACAAAGAGACAAAATCTCATCGAAGAAGGCATTCGAAAATACGACCCGGACATAATGCAGGAACGCCGTCGTGCATCTTCATCGTGAGCAGATATTCCATGCGCCAGAGAGTTAGCCTGCGCTCACGGTCCGGGTCTTTAATTCGAACACCCATCTTTAATGACTTGTTGTTTGTTTGTTCTTTGTAGGTTTCTGCTGTATAATTAATTATTAGTGTCTTTCCTTTTGCGTTGTATCGCCACCACCGCCTCCAGGAAAGCGTTCCGACCATGCATGCTTTGATTTCATGCGTAGCTAGGGTGGGCAAGGGGGACATCTGTCCCGGGAGCAGCATCCAAGGGCGCCAATTGATGCTACGAAAATTTTAATGAATATTTTCCATTTGGCACCAGAAGGGGCCGAATTCTTCAGTGTCCTCGGGCGCTAGAAAAACTAGCTACGGCCCCTGGTGATTCCATGTTCTAAGTGAACTCTATCTCTCCTGAAAGTTTGTCCTCGCTGTACTGAAATCTTGTATAGATATATATATATAATATACTAAATCTTAAACCCAAAAAGAAGGAAAAAAAGAGAGGTAGAGGAAGGAAGTATTAAAATATTATCATTCCTTTCTTCTATAATATGTTTTAAAAATAGATATAGTTATCACCTTAAATTCATATCTGACGGTACTAGAAATTAACAAACATATACAGGGACTTATTTATTTTTCAAAATTTTGCGTACTAGCATTCAGAAATAAGACCAGCTAGGAGAAGTGAACGCCTTTGAATGCATTAATATAATGAATCTAAATTACTGAGAAATAATAATAATTGTGTCACGAAATATAATTGCCAAAAATTAATATGGAATGTTTCCCATTATATTGCTTTTGTTACTGCTTGCAGTTATATAAAATACATGTTTTTATCGCATAAAATAAGAGCTCTTACGATGTTGTTGACAGCCTGGAACTTTGTCGGGCCAGTCACAAGCATGCTCTACTTCATTGTATAATAAAGAAAATGGGCACATCTGTACTGTTCCAGTGCCATTCCAGCAATGCCAGTATCTAGTGCAACTCTTCTCGTGTGGGAATATTCCAAATAAGTATGGGCAGCTGCCAGTTCCTTGAGGTGGCTCTGTGAACAAAAAATAAAATATTTTAATTTATACGAAGAAACATTTGGTTTCTTAAATACTTAAGATTTTTTAAATAATAAATACGTAAGTACTTTAAATTCATGTAAATTTCATAGGTATATTTTAAAAACACGTATGATTTGTTGTTGTTGTTTTGTTAAGAGACTGATCCTGCATTATGCTTTGTGTTCAATTCACTGGCAGTTGCCATAAATTTTACGCATTAATTGTACGCATTGAGAGCTATAGCTGTTTCCTAAGCTAGAGTTTCCTACTCACCGTATTGCGAAATTTTCGAATTTAAGTGTGCACTTAGCAACATTCAGAAAGATTTTACAAAAACTTTTATTGCATAGTTACTATGAAACTATTATATTACAGTTTTATGCAGCGATAACCTTCATCAAACTAATAACATTTCTAACAAGATTTAGTGCACTCTTTTCCGTGCGTTCTCCTGATGATAAGGAGTTTTAATATCGAGATCATTGCTCTCTTCCATGTTTATACTCTTAATAGATTTGTCAAGCGAATCTACCATAAAAGCAAGCTTTCTTGACCCTCACCATCTTAGCCTTGCTGCGGAATGTAAGCATCCCATATTCTAAACAGTAAAGTTCTATTACATTTTACGTGGTTTACCTGTACCAACTGCATTTTTTGCAGTAAAAATAGTGAAATCTTTCTAAGATCTACAACCGTTTACAATATTATATTTGCACGAATAGTATTTTCTGCAGTAGGAATAGTGAAATCTTCCCTTCTATCATCATCTAAGCCTTACTGTGTGATGTAGGTACCCCATATTCTAAATAATAAAGTTCTACTACTATTTGCAATGTTATGCTTGCACGAATTGCATTTTCTGCAGGAGAAATAGTGAAGTGCAAGTGCTTTCATTGTAAAAATTATCTGCATGCTAGTCTGTCAATGTTAAGACCACCTCTTGACAAACGATGTGGAAGAAACCGAGCGCAGGCTTTATATTAATTAAGTATTAATATATTAATAATTATAACAACAATAATAATAATTCATCCAGATCCACTTTGTCCAAAATCGTAAACGATTTGTTTAGTGTATCTTCAACTGAAGAATGTTGGGAACACTGGCTTGGATATACCATAGAATGTTACTTTATTTTAACATTTCATTGCATATAATTTAAAGTGTTTGTTTTTTAACATATTTTATAGCGGACGGAAAAGTCGCTTGCTACAACATGCTACTTATTATATTATATTTATAATTCGTGTTATCCCAAAATCAAAACGTTTTCATTGGACTTTTATAATGCTTTTACGTTTTAAAAATTTCTTCTCAATCTTTAAGAAATGAAAAAAAATATTGTAACTTTCAAAAGGAAGGGTAGTGTGGCAGGAAATTAGATTTACGAAATTTTTTATTTTACCATTTTTATATTATGTTCCAAATTCCTCACTGAGAAAATCTCTTACTCTGTTCCATCTGTCAAGTTAATGCAGCTCTTATCGCATTAATCTTTCTGTGGCTCTTAGCTCCATATCGAAACCTTTTGATGACAGGTCTAAAGCGGATTTTAATTCTTCCTCTTACTTGTTTGTGACTTATGGTTTTGTGAAATGTTAATTCTGTTTGTCAAAGCTCTTCTCTTATTGGAAGGATGCTGTAAATATGTACAACGCTCCACTAGTGAATGCAAAGTAGCGGAGAAATTTAAATGTGACAAACATCGCAATTATATGTCCGAAAACTGCTTGCATTTCGAAAATTAGGAGCTCAAATGCTGGACGCGAAATTTCTTAAGATCATTTTTGCTTATTTTCTGAGAAAAACTGATTAAGCATTCAGAAAGTCCATCCCTGATTCATCATTCCTGATTGGCCAGATTTAGGATCTCTTCACTGTCTGGTGCATTCGATTGGCGAAAAAGGAAGCATTTTAGCTATTCTGATATTTATCCCTTGAACGGAAAATACATAAAAACTGCTTGTTTAAGAAAATATATAGATCAGTACATGAACAATGTGGCGCAGTGGCTAGCGCGTTGCTCAGCAGCACCACAGGTTAGGGGTTTGATCCCTGGGCTGGGCAAGATTGACTCAGCCTTTCATTCCTTGAGTGAGTCGATAAAATGAGTACTAAGTTCGCTTGGGAACTAAACACTGAGTGTCCTGCGACGAGCTGACCACTTGCCCAGGGCATACGCTCATGCACTCCAGGGCCCACGGTCAGGAAAGCAGATATCAAGGTACTGCAGGCCATGGGCCGCTAGGGCTGCTGCGCCGCTGAGTTTAGTTTAGTTTACATGAAGATAGCTTCAGTTAAGCTATAGTTTTATAAAGAATTCGTCATTAGTAGTCATATGCTAACAACTGTCAGATTAAATTTCTATTAAAAATTCGAAATTTAGAAGCTTATATTTTTTGTTAACTTGAAAACAGCCGTTTTTACTATGCAATTTTTTAGCGAAGGACTTAACGTCCTTTCAAAATAAGAAATTCTGCAAACCCACAAAACTAAAACATTTGTAACGCCAGTGCCCAGCTTTGATGTGAGAAATGATGGAAGCGTTGCTTTCATTTGTGATAAAGAGCACGTGTGTTAACACATGACTGTGTCTACAAGAAGCAGAATGATTTAAAAGTACATTTAAATATTTAAATTTGTAGTTAGTTAGACGTAACGAGATATTTTAATATCCGCTTAGTATTTTTTAGCTCGAAAGGGGCTATTAATTTCGAAATGGTATTTTGCGTTGGTTCACTATAAATGCCGTATCATCTTTCAAATTGTTGCCCCCCAAATATTATCGCCCCCAATTATATTTAAAGGAATTAAATAAGTGAAGAATCTGCATGTATGTATGTACTGTATATGTTCCTTCATTGTGAAGAAGCGACGGTACTTAAGACCAACAAATTTGGGAAAAACGTATTCCTGAACCTGAACATGTTCACCCTGAAGTCCGAATTTCGGATTTCGCATTTGTTTTATTATTTATTTCACATTTTCTAAAACTTTAATAAATGTTTTATTAAGAAACACAGCGATTTGAAAGGTAGCCATAGCAACACTGCTCGAAATTTTATCTCCGCATTTTTATCTCCAGCGCATTTATCTCCAGCAACACCGCATTTTTATCACCAGCGCGTGAGACTGTTGCGATTCGGAGAAATGTTAATATACTTATCTTTTATTTTCAATTAACACACTCGGCTGTATGAAAGCGATGTGTGGCCGCGATCGGAAATATATACTTTTTATCTTCCACGCGGTAGCGTGTTGCCATTTAGTAAAGCCTAAGATAATTTCAAATGCAATCTCGGAAGTTACTGAATAATCAACTGAGCAATTTAAAAGCAATAAGCATAGTTCTTAATATTTTTTCTACTTTTTAATAAGATTGATCTTTTAAAATGTATTAAAATCATGAGATGTTTAGTTAGAAATATACAATATTTTTTATGAAGCTGGGCTCATTAAAATCATTATACACTTTTCCTTTTTTATGATAACTATTTTAGGCGGCTGGTCGCGAGAGCGGCTAGTTTTTAAGGAAATAATATAGAGAATATAAAATAGTATGACACACTGTAACAATCTAAAAGGCATTCTAAAGATACGCTGCTTTTAAATATTTTGTGATTTTGCTTTTGAATTAAATTTTATGGGGGCCTAAGTGTGGATAAAACGGGATATTTAATAATTAAACTTAACATATAAGAAGTTAATAATTAAACGACAAAAAAAATTTCCTAACCATCTTACTGAGAAAACTGCATATGATGAACAGAGAAAAACTGAAAGAATGTATTCCAACCAGCATTTTCTCCTTCCTTCCAGCAAACCTTCGTGGTATAACGGTTAGCACACTCGGCGTATTCGAGAGGTTTATGTTCGAGTCCCGGCGAGGGCACTGCACATTTTTCACATCTCCTGCATCAAAAAAAAAAAAAAAAAAAAAAGTAACCTAATGTCTCTACAGTGGCAATCTAAATAACAGGTGGTGGATGATGAATCTTCACCACCAGGATTTGGCAATTGGGTTCCCTAATCCCCAGTCGCACTTTAAAAGGGGAATATATAAGGTATTTTCTCCTGATTTCAACATGCCTCCGTGATGTAACGGTTAGCTTCATTTTTCATGTCTTCTGCTTCAAAGCAACCTAATGACTATACAACTTGATACTGCATCGGGAACTCTAAATATATGTTGTTATGTAGCTTTTAAAAATTTTGTAATTTTATTATTGAATTTTATGTGGCGGGAGTACGAAGAAAACGGTGCTTAATAATAAAGACCAAAACAAAAGGGGGGTAGCAGGAGTGAGTGCAAGAGGAGACTGGTAAATTACTCACTCAGCGGGAGCGTAACAAACTCTTTTGGGCGACCGTTAAAACCTGAAACATTCTAGATTTAATTTTTTGTAAAAACTTTCTCTAGAAATGAAGTAAAATTGAACTGATTCGTTTACTTACGACCCATGATCCTCCCAGTTGCCTCATCCGGGCAGCCTGCTCTGTGAGCGTAATCACAATGGTTTATAAGACCTCTTCCAGCACCAGCAAATGCTAGACCATTGGGACATGATTGTAGGTACGGAACGCCATCCACACATTCATAGAAGTAGTCGCAGTATTCTTCGTGAGGAAAATACCCATTATCTTTCTTGCAAATAGTTTTATCTTCTCTCTGAGCGAGGGCTGAAAATATAAATAGCATATTATCAAACACTGAAATGAATTTGAAAGCATAAGAAAATTTTAGCATGCAATAAAATCTTTTATGGCTACCACCTCCTCGGGTAATTAAAATTATTTGGATCTGTCAGTGGTCTTCAAAGAAAATTTTACTCTATGTTAAATTTGGTGAATCTTTACATTATGGTAACTTGGCGATTTTTTGGCGAAAATTTGGCAACTAACCCTGCTGCAGCAACCTGCTAGTTTTGTTTTGAACGCCATTTTGTTTTCACGAAGTAAAGCTGGTTTTTTTTTTTTTTTTTTTTTTTTTTTTTTTAGTCCAAAGGATTTGAATCCCGAAGGACTATTAGTTCGTTTTGGCATTTTGTGTCGGACTCATAAATGTCGGTTCACTTTTCAAACTGTTGCCACAAAATGTTAGAGTCCTGCATTATATTTGGAAGAAATTAAATATGAAAATCTGCATAAATGTATGTATATTTCTCGTATTGTGATAAAACAACGGTACATAGAGTCATCGAATTTTGAATAACGTAATCCTCCAACGAATATGAGCATGTGGAACCAAATTTAAAATTTGAAATTTGTTTATGATCGATTTCCTATTTTTTAAACTTTGACGAATTTTTGATTAACAAACTCAAGGATTTCAAAGCGAGCAATGGCAACGTTGTGCAGAAAAAACATTTTTAGCTCCAGCGCGTGAGTCTCTGTATCGGAATTCCTAAAGAGATACTCGTTTTAAAACTATTTTGCGATATGCTGTTGCACTGGATCTTATGGTTTAAGTGCGAGGACATGATATTTAATAAAGAAGGTAACACACAAAATGTTAAAAAACGCCCCTTTGGACGTAATTTAAAATCTGAAACATTTCATTTTTTTTTTTCTTCAACATTTTTGCCAACAATCTGTAGCCGAATACCTTATACTAGAATTTTACGGACCAAAAATGCTTAATCATGACGAAATTAGGTGCGGAATTGGAGAAATTGCGAATCGCAAACTGCTTGCCGCGTTTTTAAGAATGCAATACACGTATCCTTACACGTCGACCTATTTCACTTAAAAAACATCCAGAATGCACAAACTGGCATTGCGGCACACTCTTGACTTTACTATGCACACATCGACTATTTCACTTAAAAGTCAAGAAATGACAAAAATCCAATTCTTCTACTTCGTAAAAAAGCGCCAAACAATAATGGGCGATTCGCACTTTAGCAGCGAAATTGTTTCTAAGTGCTTATGAGCTAAATCACGATCGTAATTTTCGGAAACGTCACATTACATGTCTCGTAAGCTCTCATTCTCTGAGACAAATATCTGGATTCGATTGTGTACTTCTCAGATTATTGCTAAAGTCTTACCAAAGTACTGTGTACTTCTCAGATTATTGCTAAAGTCTTACCAAAGTACTGTGTACTTCTCAGATTATTGCTAAAATCTTACCTGGTAACCTTTATCGCCTTACCAAAATGTCGCCAATCTACCTGTTACCATATTCTAAATATTAGCCTTAAATTTTTTTGCGACTCAGTCATTTTTACTTCCCGACACCTTCAAAGGAATAGCGTCTTTGTCGGATACCGATTTCAGAACTCAGCTATAAATCGATATTCTTATAACTAAAAACCCAAATAATGTACAATGTATTGACACCGACTCTTTTTGTTCTTTGTAGCATTAATAATTAAAACGTTTATATTATAAAACATCTAACTACGGATGTAAAGGTAATTCTCATTAAATTCAAAACAGAAGAATACTCTTTTCAGTTGCCACACTCAGAATTACAAAGTTACAAACGACAAACACGTGAAGTTATAGGAACAACAATACGCGTGCATAAATTTAACACTCAGTTTTCTACAATCTTATTTTACAAACTTTTATCTTATCTTACAAACTATCTTATTTTGCAAACACAATTTTTCAATTATGAGATTCATGAAGCTCATTTTAAAATGAAAAAATACTGTTAAACGTAAATTTTAAACGCGTAGTTAAAATATTAAATTAATGAAAGTAGAATATGTTGTTGAGTTACTTTTTAACACAATACAATTATAAAAGACAAGTTTTCATTATTATTTACGTTGATAAATATTCTAGTTCATAAAAAATAAAATTACAAAATGCTCTTGTGATCTTCAATAATTTTACAAGACTCCTTGCTTTCGAATATCTCTGCGAAGGCAGTCATCCATTTAGACAAAACAATCTTGCATTGTTTGTTATTTATTTAGTTAACTTTACTCTCACGGAACTCTTTACAAACATTTCAACTCTATTATGCAAAATAATGAATTTTAATAGAAGCTTTTATTTCAAAAATGTTTATGGATCCCGTTTTCCTGCATTTTACAATTCAAACTTTCTAAAGCAGAATAGTTTCGATAACACCATACATAAATATATATACATGTTGTACTGTAAATGTTGCGACAAACTTCTGGAGGAGGTAGGG